CAATCAGTGCTTGCCTCATCCATATATGCACGTGCCACCGACACCACAGACTCAGCCCCAGTACCGCCGATGATAGATGTAGGTGGCGGTTCTGGGGGAGGCAACGGCAAAGACGGCGATGAGAGCATTACCTCGTCACAGCGTCCACTTTGGTCTTGAGCCGAATGTTGTTGTGGTGTGTTATCTTGTGTTGTTATGGTGCATTGTGTTGTGGTGACAATATGCCCATTACCCGACTCCAAGGCTCTCGATACGGGTAATGGAGGCACTATTGCCGATGACGGAAATTGTGCTAACGATGGCTGTGCCCGAGGGTTCTTCAGTGGCCTGCCGCGTTTTGGTCGCAGTGCCCGTGCCGAGCCAGTCAGCATATGCAGTCGCCGAGCCAGTCAGCATATGCACTGATTGTGAACAACGAGAAAGAAGGCTGAAGGGAACGGAATTCAACAAAGAAAGTAACACGATCAACATTCAAAGACCTAGACGATCAACGGCTAATTATTCAATGAATTATTACAGTACTGGAGATCAAGCATCGGCGAGGACACTGGGAACACAAGATTTAACAACAACAACAACAACAACAACAACAACAACAAGTTGCCATCAAGATCAAAGGAGGAGTCAACGAACAGAGGTTAAACAACGTCAAACGAGCCTGGGACCGATCAGTGTTGATGAGGAGCATGACACGGAGGACGACACTGAGGACGAGTTGGGAGATGAGACGGAGGACGAGGCTGCGGTTGTTGGAGACGAGGAATCAGATGGTGATTGTGATCGTAAGAAGTCTGCCGTTTTTCTTCACTTGTTGTCTCACCCTAAGTGTCTGCAGGTGTATGATGATTTTAGTTTTTCTGTTCTTTGTCGTGCACGGTATGCTAGTCAGTTGAAAGTACTTGAGGCTGTTTGTATTCGTTTGCATAAGCCTGATCTTTGTAAGCAGAAGAAACATGTAGTTGCGTTAAAATTGTTTTCGTAGGTGCACAGCATGATTTTTTGTCTCACTACACAGCTTTAGCGTTATAATTATTAGTTTTTCACCCACCGTTGCACTTAGCTCTCACTTCACTTCTATTGTCTCACCTTCCCTCATTCTATTTTGGCACTGTATTTTGTTCTCGTAACACATCATTGAATGTATATTTAATCATTGTTCAGCATGGTTACTCTTCAGTCACGACTTTCCACTGATGAATGTGACAAGAAAATTAATTCTGGTAAACTTTCATGACTTCGTTATAGTGTGGTGATGACTGCAGAATTTGTTCTTTTTATTGCTATTATAAAATTGTTGTCTCCACGTCGATTATTTACATGTATATTTGCACAAGACGCTCAATCTCCGGATAGGATAGCTAGCTGTTTCGACCTTGCGAGGTCTCATCAGTGGAGCTCAGTTACTGGCTGAAGAGATCACATTGAAGTTCAATGAACAAAGAAGCACTCCACACTTTTACATGTACATTTACATGATTGTACATGTACATTGTACAACATACAATCGGATACAATACATTATGATTTATATAACATTTTAAATTATGAAGTCTGCAGTGAACGGTCGCTGCTATGATTAGTTTTAGTTTTATTGAAAGCAATGCATGGCTGGGGCAGCCAATGCCAGCCAATGACCACTTTGTGTGGCGATTGCAGGGGTTTTGTAGCCAACCACGGCTGTGATGGCTAGGCATATGCGGATAATGCCGGCAGAAAAATTGGCAGAATTCGGTACTTTTTCTGGTAAGTTTCATGCATGTTTGGTATGTGGATAAAGAAATGGAGCAGAATTCGAGGAATTACCCGCCATAAGGTTTGTATGGTTCTGCCAATTTCACTGCTTTTCGAGCAGAATCTGCCACCTTTTCGAGCATTATCGGATTTATCCGCCAATGCCTAGTGATTAGGCATGGGCGGGTAATGCTAGTTTTTTTTTTGCTGCGATAATGCTAAAGGCAATGCTCACAATATGTGGTTATAATGCTCACACTACTCCATATTGCCAGTTTGAAAGTTGGAAAAGTCGATTTAAGAAGGCCGTCTTGGATCAAGGCCAAAGCGTAGAAGAAGAAAAACTTAAACAGCAGTGAGAATGTTGTCTGAAACAATCCACTGAGAAGGTTGATTTGCAACGTTAAGTCTCCATACGAAGCCGGACCGGTTCAGATGCACGATTTTCGGAACTGGACCTAGCCAGCTTCATGCATGACACCATTGTCGACCGGCAATTATGCTTGTAATGCCAATTTTGCATGCGAAATGGTGTTGTAATGCAAGCATTATGCCACCTGGAAAAAAGGGACTATAATGCCAGCCATAATGCTAGCATTACCCGCCCATGCCTACTAGTGATGGCAACAATACCATATTTTACCTTCGCGGTATAACATTGCTGGCCATAAGCGAGGGTCCCTGGTTTGAGTCCCATTTCAAATCCCTCAACCTACAATGTACATCGCGTCCCAGCTGCATGGACAATGTTACCGGTTTCTCATATACAGTGTAGACAGGTGTTACAGTGTCCTACAAACGAATTTTATGTGATAACAAAATTTATTTATGTAATTGTTGTAGCCGGACCTGCAATCATTTGTACATGTACAATGTACATTACGTTCCCTAGGCTAAAGCCTAAAGTACAGGGACTTCAGATCTCCATTGAGGTGTACGTGCTAACCGAACACGGGATAATGACGGGGGATTCTAGACATGTATCAATAAAAAGAGAGTGCACGCAGTCATACTACTACTACTACTACTAGTACTAGTAGTTGTACTAGAAGTCCATGATACCCAACAGTGGAGCAGTATCTACATGTACAATGCACATGTATATCTACAATGTACATTTGTGTGGATTTGAACGTAGTATAAATGTCAAGACAATAATACTGCACCTTGGTCAGTTGTGAGCACAGCAAGGTTGGTAGCCTGGACACCTGTGAAGATGTGTGCTGTAGTTCATGGTAGTTATGGCACGGTAAATCGCTAAAATTAATGGTAGTAGCGTCACCGTTACTTAGTGACCTTCGTGGCCCTGGGATTAGTTTTTACAAGTAAGTTACATCATATTTTGAACGTTTTCCAGGACGACTTTACAACAAGGAGGCATTGAAACGCCGTCCATTCACCTGTCTACATCACCTGATACGCTCAGGCCTGGCAGCGAGCGCGGCAGCCACAAGACAGATCGCCGCGACCACCAAGTGACACACGTGCCACCTGGTCTGTCAACACGACAACAGCCAATCTACCCACCTTGGCTCTGTTGTACCTAGCCCTAACCTACGTAGCTACCGGCCAGTCTCCACCGCTCCAACGACGTAGCGAGTCAAAGGCACTGAAGATTCGTGCATACACCATTTGTACACGTTGTCGTTCGTGTGGGTTGCACTCGGCAGGGTATCGAGGTGTGCACGTAACACAGTTTTCACATGAGGATCGTAGATATAGAATACAATCATGTACATGTGCTCGGACTGATACTTCATGGAACTAATACTTCAACTGGAAGATGCAGCCGGAGGGTGCCGGGTCCACGTGTGGAGTAGGCACTGGTGCCGTGGTGGTGTCAGTGATCAGTCGGGGAGATGTCCTATCTAGGACATCGCACTCTGAATGAGTCTGATTGGTTACCTGTCCCAGAGTTGTCATGGAAGCGTCGGTCGCGCACACGCGATGAAAAGAAGTGCTGCGTGAGCATTTCTGAATGTATGTGGAGGATGCACGATCGTTATGGCGATGGATTTCTTTCCGAATTGGTCAAGTTTGAGGGAATAGGCGGAGAATATCAGACATCGGCGGGGATTGAGGTAGTGTATATTCGATTCTCCATCGAATACCCGACCGAATGGCCGTTTTCGTTTGGGGATTTCATGTGGGGTTTCTCGTAGCCACGCGGCGCTTCTTTGCCTTTGGAAACGATTGGTTCTAATTTTGAATATTTTGCCTTTGGAATGTTTCTTCACGCTCCGCGCGTTCATTTCGCCCCAAACCTGGCCATGCAGAGGAGGAAGACGAGCCAGCAGGCGCTAGGCCCGTAAATTACTGCCTGGAAGATATTATTTGGCCAAAGCTTGCTGTTGGCGTTTTTGATTTCTTGGATACGACAGCTCTTGGATAAAACTGGACCTTGGACGGTCTTTCTTGGATATCAACCCAGGACGTGGTGGTCATGGACGTATCGCCATCGCTTTCAGCCAGATCCTTCTGCTGCCTGAAGCCAATGGCGAAAGTAAAAACTTTATCGCAGCAGCAGCTACTGCTCTGCTGAAAGTGCGAACACAAATTGCTTCGCCAATCCTCTTGTGCATTTGCAATTTTCAATGCGACCAAAACGATTCCCTTGCCAGTTCCTTTGTCCAGGCGTACTCCACAACGAGGAAAATAAAATTCGTGAAGGCAAGAGGCAAGATACGAATCTCGACTCGCTTGATCTGAGGCAAGCCGCCAGGAGAACGACAACTAATAATAATTATTACTTTTGAGACGAAAGGCCTTCGTTGCGTTTGTTGAGTGCGACATGTTCATCTTCCTCGGACGCGACACAAAGTTTTGAGTCACGTGTCACGATTACTATGGGAACAGCATAGTATGTATGCTGGGGCATGCTGGGTTCCGTGATGTCCTATCTAGGACATCACCAGGACTGGTGATGTCTTGTTGGGCCTTGCTCGAACGCCGGCTGACCCAGCCAGGTCTGTGTAGGCTGGTGTAGCAAGGAACATGCCGGTTACCTTTGCAAAGCTTGAACAGGACATACAGAGAACTGTTACTTGAGTTGAAGTAGCCAGCAACTAGCTGGTTGATGCTACACGGAGATTGCCATGCACATGCATGCCTACATATACATGCGGCCATGTGGCTCACGCGATGTTGCCGATCTGATGCCGCACACACGGCACTAGCGGTGGCACACATAACTCAACATGATAACATGCACGCGACAGTGCTCGATCGATCGATCGAGTCTTTGTTATGAATCTTGTTGACCATACATTTGCATTGTTTAGGTTCTTGGAGTTGGGAGTTTAGGGCCTCGTCTCCACTAGAACAATCTCCAGTGTCAAACGATTTTCTTTTAGAAGATCTTGCTCCCTGCATTATTGTCCTGAAGGCTTTCACGTTGTTAGCAGGTGCTTCCTCCAGTATCCTACTGGAAATTGCTACTTTCATTTAGCGCGACGTGCTCCGGATCGTGCCGTCCGTAAATTGTATGCCACGGGACGTCAGAAACTACTGTCGTTGAGAGCGCGATGCCGAATCAGATCCACACAATGCTCTCTCCAGCATTACTGGTTCTTCTCTCGTGCCTCGCCCTAGGCGGGAATGCGGAGACCTTCACAGCAGTCACGCATTTTAAGTCCCTAATCAGCTTAGAACAAGACCTGTCAGCTAAGTTACAGGCGTATATATCCGCTGAGGAAAGAGAATTGGAAAAACTGAAAAAGCTATCAGAGGAGGTCAGTTGGAGCAAATGGACATAGACAACATTCCGTTATAGGGGTAGCATCGTCGCAGTTGTAAATCTGTTGAGATGGATTATGTCGTTCATTTGAGCTTCAGAAGGCCGTCCGGTCTTCTGACAATGGGTTTGATAGGCAATTTGTTCCGTGGCGTTAATTTGGGCTGTCCGTTTGGCAGATTTTCTACTTTAGATCCATTGTGCGCTAGCTGCAAATAACCAGTAGAGATGTTTGCTCAAAAGTATTGGATTGGATTGGATTGGATTTTTATTATTTATAGTGGTGACCAAGTATCACTTTCATGAGTATTTTTCTATTCACCAGATGGTAGAAGGTAATTGTTTACACCAAAATTGCATTGATTTTATAGATATTCGTACCCATTAGTTTTTGTATGACCAGTGTGCATGCAGTGGCCAGTATGGTGCTGCTAAATAGTGTAAAATTGCGTTTGCCCAAAACAAAAAAGGGATGTGTTCTTTTCCTGTTGTGTGTGGGAGTGCGTGCGCGCGTGCTCGTGTATGTGTGTACGCATGTGTGTGTATGTATGTATGTGTGTGTACATAATGTGTGTGTGTGTCTTTGTGTGTGTGTGTGCGTGCATGTGTGTATACGTGTGTGTATGTGTGCATGTTGTCAATGTTGTGTCTATTTCTCCAGGTACAATCCTGGACGAACAGGGCAAAGGATGACTATGAGAGTCACCTCGGCCATCCCACCAATGCTTTCCGCCTCGTACGACGTTTTACGTCGGACTGGCGGGAGGTGGAGAATGTTGTGAACAATGCCACTGATGAGAAGAAAGGTACGGGAATATTTTCACAATTTTCATCCATGATATGTAAAATCTGATCTGTATTCGGCTAACAACTGTAGATGATGTGAAACGAAGACTTGCAATATAGCGCCTGTTAAACTTTCCCATCATCTACACACTACTTGAAAGTATAGGCTTGTCTTTTGTATGCTTTGTGAGAACATTTACCAGAATGAGCTGTACTTGGAACAGCATGCGGACTGGCGAACAGCGCTGGAATGCACATGCCTACAGACCTTAGCTCAACCTGGAGAAAGACACGTTATTGTACTCGGACTCTATACCTAGCCAACGAGAGATGCTTGCGAGCAATCCTTTTGAATATTTGAACCTTTGATATACCGGTAACACCGTGCTGTGTTCAATCTATCACAGGGGAGCATGTCTACTACTGTACTGTACTATTTTGCAACTGCTCATTGTATTGCTCATTGTATTGCTCATTGTATTGCTCATTGTATTGCTCATTGTACTTGTAGATTTGTTGCAACAACTGGAAACCAGTACGGACTACTTTCCCGACGAGGAAGACTTGACAGGAGCGGTGGTGGCGCTGATGCGACTGCAGGATGTGTATCACGTCAACACCACTCGCTTTGCCGACGGCTTGGCCGGGTCCACACAGGGCGCAGTACTGACCGTTGAAGACCTTTATCTAGTGGGCAGGTCAGCCTATAACAAGGCACAGTACCAGAACTGCAAGGTTAGCTGCTTGTCTGGGTATTTTCAGTCCTGTAAAACCTAGAATTTTCCTCAGCTTGAAGGCGACAAATCTGATAAAACAACCATTTGCCCAAGAAAACCGCTACGCCCAGGACCAAGGGGTGGTATTTCCAGTCAAATTACCCTGGATATGGAGACCACCTGTACACTGGACCACATTTGTAAGGTCCCTTGAGCGATCGGCTTAGACAGGTTTTACTATGCACGGTGGTTCTACTGATTTGTTCGGCATAAAGTACATACTGGGTTAGTTTGAACCGTTGATGGTTTGAGGAACAAGGTTTTAAATGCATACAGTGGGCTTGTGCTTTGAGCCGACAAGTGTTTTTGGGCGCAAGCTTGCGCCTATACGGTACAAGAGTAGTCGCATCTCTTCCAGCAATTTGGATCTTTCTCCCACTCACTAATTATGAGGATTTTGTTAGGTTCACAAAGTATACCAGTGGTACCCTTGACATGCCATCCCCGACAAGGCATAACTGCATGATTGTATGTCCTCCTCATGCCTTATCCGCAACTTGCTTCTTTGTCAACGAATTTACGCCGGTATTATCGAATAGTGTGCCGATATGTATCTAATATTGACTGAGTACGAGGTCAATATAGGAAATAAAAGCCGAGTAAAAGACCGAGGCGAAGCCGAGGTCTTTTACGAGGTTTTTATTTCCTATACTGACCAAGTACGATGTCAATATTGGATTTATCACGACAAACAGTCCGTATTTCAAATTCCATAACGATAACCTCATGAATCCCGGTTTTATGATTGCACAACCGTTGCACCACCACCTACTCATGATGCAGTGACAATGCTGCGCTAGGCACCATTCAACTGCGCAACCCCTAAGCATTATAAGCAGTCAATATAGCCCTAAGGAGTGAAATATGCAGGAATATTTGACTGCTCAGGTATGGCAAAAATCTATGGGAGTCAATACTAAGGGAGTGATAACACCTGATATTATCTAGCCGATCAACTTGATGAAGATGTTGTTAGAATTGCAGAGCTCGATTTTAAAGCATCATATCAACTGAAAAGGAATCATTCCCCAAACTCATCTGAGCACTAAAATCAAGGTCTCAATCGTCTTTGATATGTGGGCACAACGGGAGGATAGCGGTGAAATAACACCGTAACAGGTACTGTAAAAGCCATTATTCTAACGAGGCGCATATATAACGATTTCCCAAAATTGACTGGTTTACGTGTACCAAAGGTAACGATTCTCACTCCGCATTCTCAACGCTCAATAGGACAGTATATGTGTCGATTTCTGTATACTGATTTCTATTTTAACGACAGATTTCTCCTCGTTAACTCGTTAGAGTTAGCACTTCGTTATATATATATGGCTTTTACAGTATAGGTATTTAGATCTGTTGATGTTTGTGCTCGCTGTTTTGTCACTCGGTTTTAGAAATGGATGCAAGAAGCCATACGCAGGCTCGATGCTTTCGAACGGGTTTCAAACGCCACCAAGGATTCACTGGCGGTCCGTGAGTCTCTCTACGACCATCTTTCTTTCTCGGAGTATAAGGTAAGCTTAGAGCATGTGCAACCAGTTTCAGTTATCACCTGGCGCTGGCAACCTGGGTGACAAGCCCGCTTTTCTTTAGTCCCTTGAATGCGCAGAGATTGCCATTGTTCAAAGACTTTGATAGGCCAGTATCATGGGTATATGCTGGAAACTCAGCATTATTGGCCTGTGTGGTTGATCATCTTGAAATGACAAGTACGTTACCAAAATGTGCGGCATGAATGTACAGGCCTAGCATAAGGTGAAAGGCGATTAAATCGTGTAAATACTCAATACCTCAAGCCCGAAGCGAAAGACAACCGTATGAGTCTAAACATTATTGCTGTGATTTGTTGTTTCTCTCGTGTGTAGCTGGGGAACGTTAGGAGAGCATACCGACTAGCCAAGATCCTAGTGCAGATGGGTGAGTCCTGTTATCCCTTTCTTCTCTTCTATTGTAGCATGTCCACGGCTGTGATCCGCTTTCGGTGTTTGTTCAGCACAAAATTAATATTTCCAGACTGAGAACTTGAAGTGATCATCTGGACAGTGCTTCTATTTGACACTGGTCCTCGTCACTTGCAATGTAGTGCTCGGACAGGAGTCATTCTGTGTATCCTGTCGTGCCTGTACCGCCTTGTCTGCGAAGCGTCCTAAGCTGGTTATGCTTCGCAGTACAATTCTATAGCCGGTTGTAATGCGGATGTGTGAACTCTACTTCACTTTTATTCACTTAAAACAAGAGGACCTATACCCTGTGTAGGTTATTGCCTCTTGTAATTTGTCATATTTTTACATTGTTTTTGCTTACTGCCATGGCTGGCTATCGCACCCCCCCCCCCCCCATATTGGCCTATATTCCCTGGCCACGGGAAGGTGAAATAAATAAATAAATAAATAAATAAATAAATAAATATGTGACCGACAGTCCACCAAGGTAACGTCTCGTAACTCATAGGTCCCTTTTCTCTCTTTTTTTTTATTACTGCTGGCGCAACTTTTGGTTTACTTTACTTTACCATCATGTCTCTCTGGAGCATTTCTCACTATATTTCTTGTCTTGCTGTGCTCAGACCCGGACAGCGGCCGTTACCTGTCCAACGAAGAGCAGTACCTTGAGTTGGTGCGCAAAGCCATGTTTGAAGAGGCACGCAAGCGTCGCAGCTCACCACAGGAACCAGAGCCAGAAGAAAGGAAATGGAAGAAGCCGCCACCGACCGGCGACGATGATTTGCAGTACTGGCGTGATTTTGAATACTACAAGAAGTATTGCAGAGAATCAGTGGAAGTGGTAAGCTATCATACATGAAGGTGCTATTATTGCATGAAACCTGTGGGAATTCTGACAGAATATTTGGTTTGTATTTCGGACTGGAATTTTCAAAACTTCTCTTATTTCGGAATTTTCGTTGGACAACTAACTCCACGTACATTTACGTGTAGAATGAATGGTCTTTATCCATTTTTTCATTAGATTATGCTCACCGAACATTGGACGATGACAGAGGGTATGCTTCACTTGTGAGCAAGACTTTCTTTCCACAGCCATAGCAGGTGTAACTTTCATGTACAAAACTCATTTCGGATCAAACTCAAACCCAGGTTTTTCTGCCAGTATACGATTTAAGTTGGGTTTGAAAAGCCCAGACCCAATGGAGAATGGTTACATGAAAAGTTGGTCACAAAATATTTGGATGTAAGATTTGATGTTTGAACTGGTAAATGCAATTGCCCTCTGAGGCCTAGCCTCCATCCTTCCTTTTTAAGTTTAGTATAACCAACCTACTTTTCGTTCTGTTGTGCTTGTAGAGTCCTTTTCCCGACCATGAGATGATCTGCTTCTATGAAAATAATAACCGGAACCCACGCCTCATCCTTAACCCGGTCAAGGTGGAGGTGGTGACAGTCAACCCCACTCTTCTGATCTACAGGGACGTCCTGTACGACTCGGAGATAGAGAAATTGAAGCAGCTAGCAGACCCCAAGGTAGGCAGTTGTCAATTTGGTGTTTGAAGATGAAAGTTTGATATCTATTTATTCACATCATGTGGCACTTGCCAATGAAGTGGTGACATGGGTGATAGCCAGCAACGGTGGCAAAAGCGAGAGAGGGGGGGGGGGGGGGGGGGGTATATGAAATAATAAAGTTTGAGACACCGTCACGTATGCACCAAGGTTATAATAATTATTTGAGTTTTGATATTGGCATATGCATGGCGGTTGTATTCTTCTCTGTCTACTGTGTGCGCATAACTGGGCTGTGAAATGACTGTACTCCTGTTGTCTACTATGTGTGCATATTTGGGTTTTGGACTGATAGCTGAACCGTGCCACTGCTCACAATCGAGCCACGGGCCGTTACGAACCTGCTCAGTACAGAATATCTAAAAGGTAGGTGACAAAACTATGATGAGCAGTTCAGGTTCACGAATGGAAGGTGAGAGGAGCGAGAGCTTGAGAAAGAGAGAGAAAGAGAGAGAGAGAGAAAGAGAGAGAGAGAGAGAGAAGAGAGAGAGAGAGAGAGAGAGAGAGAGATAGGGGAGACAAAAGGATACACAACAAGCAGACAGATCTAAAGGCGGAGAGAGAGAGAGAGAGAGAGAGAGAGAGAGAGAGAGAGAGAGAGAGAGAGAGAGAGAGAGATAGCTAGATAGCTAGAGAGAGATAGATAGATAGATAGAGAGAGAGAGAGAGAGAGAGAGAGAGAGAGAGAGAGAGGGGGGGGGGAGAGAAATTGAAAGAGCGAGAGCGATATAGAGAGTGAGGGAAAGGGAGATGGGGAGAGGCCGGGACACAGCAGCATAGATACAGATTCAGACCTTGCTGAGACGTTTAAAGAATGGATGTGAATGAGTGTGTGAGAGGGCAAGATATTGGCTGTATTCCCAGTTGTGCTTGCTCAGAAGATCTTTGAATAGATGGGTACAATCATGAATCACATATGCAACATGGCCTATTGAAACGAGCAGGATTAAAGCTGTAGATTGATATAGGATTGCGCGTATCATGGATAGTTCCCCCAGTCCATTGTGTGTATGTTCCCCTCAGTCCGTTGTGTGCATGTATGCCACGTTCTTGTCACTCCACAGTGCCTGGCTGGGCGAGTATCTAGACGAAAGCGGTGTCCTGGCTCATGTCAACCAGCGTATTGAAGCCATCACAGACCTGAGCATGAGCACGGCGGAGGAGTTGCAGGTGGTCAACTACGGTATCGGCGGACACTACGAGCCTCATTTTGATTTTGCACGGGTAAGTGTTTGCCGTGGTTTGCAACCATCCGACTTCTCATAAATATTGGCAGTCTTACTACGAGCCAGGAGATGTTGAATAAATAATAATAGTAAAGTGTTCCGGTAATGTTGCCGCTCTGAACTGTCTGCGGTGTTCGTGCATGTGGGCTTGGCAGGGCTGTGTTTCCGTTTTCTGTAGCAGCCATGTTGAATGTGTAATGGTTTGCCATGACGGACTCACACAGACAGGCCAATCACCTAGGCTACAGTGCATTTCAAAACTATAGACGCGTAGGGTTTTTGAAATATTTCAAACTTGGCTGGAACGTTTTGAGAATAGTTTTCGGAATATTGCTCAGGATCGCTCCACAATTACTCTCATATAGTTTCTAAAGGATTGGATAACAGACGCCCAATTTGGAAAAATTTATGCACAAAGTGATCACAGATTTTATGTGGTATAGATGCTGGCATAACGGTTTTTGCCTAGGTACGCGTCTATAGTTTTGAAATGGACTGTAGGTGGTGCTTTACTTTTGCAGCCCATTCATACAACCGTTTTTAACTGTTTTGCTAACGGAGTAATGCTTCATTGCAAGTGTAATTGGCAGCTGTAATATGTTGCTGCTAATTGTGTTCTGTAGAAGTATGTAGCACCTTGACACCTGTTTTACGTAAGAAATAGGGGCTATCGGCAAAGCATCCAGGTCATCGTCCATTGGGTGTGTTTTCATGCATGTTTTGGGCTGTGCTTGGCGTGCATGTAGGACTTTGAGAGGAAAGCAATGACCCACAAGAAGGGCAATCGAATTGCCACACTGCTCTTCTATGTAAGTAGCCTGGGCTGTACTTGTAACGATGAGCCTCTCACATGTCTGTCCTGCTGTTGCCTTTGATGTGTTTGTGTGTGTTGTGCTCATCAACTCTTGCTCAACACACATTGCCACATCTCTCTCTCCAATGCTCTGGAAATTGATTCTGCGCATTCTTGCGTGACTGGTCGACCACTGATTATTGCTTGCCGCTACCTGTCATACTTACCGCACACCACTGCCACTGTTCCCACTGTGCTTGAGTAGTCGGATCGCACCGACATGGGCGAAGGTGGCAATCGCATAGCCACTCTTCTCTTCTATGTAAGCCATGCTGAGCCACAAGCGTTGCGTAATATTTTGCAATGCAATCATTAGCTCATTCCTTGGAGGCCGTTTTGGCAATTGGCCGTTAATTTCAATACTTGAAAATTTCCACCATACTGCACATCAATCTTTACCATTAAGGGGCCGTCCGTAAATATCGATGTTTTTTTGGAGACGATATTGGTGTGTCTGGGGGGGGGGGGGGGGGGGGGGAGGGGGTTTGAGCCATGTGCGTCTTTTCGAGCATCAGAAAAATATCGATGTACTAAATATGTGAAGTTTCGCCGATCCCTGCACGCGGCCGTCTAAATGGCTATACAAGAAATGTGAAACCAGCTTCCGTTCGCGGAGCTAAAACTCGCGACACAAGAACAAAATCAAAAATTGGAAGCTGTACGCCCATGGCGAATTTCAAGAGCAAAAGAATGAGCCGAACGATGCCTGCAGGAGACCTTTTTCAAGACGTAGAGGCAGTGCGAACAAACACGGACGAACTCCACAAGAGTTTCCAGTCTTCACTGTCTGAACAAGGATTTGAAAAAATTCTTGGGTTCATATTATTGAGCATCCAAAAATATTGATTCCATGATCTAGATGTACATGTGCATCTTCTGGGGGGAGGGGGGTGGGGGTCAAGGGAGAGAAGCACCAATATCGTCTCTAAAAACATCGATATTTACGGACGGCCCCTAAGTACAAGGTGTTTTCCTGTGAAATTTCATACTTCCAAAATGAATTTAATTAATGCCAGTCTTCCCAATTTCATGGCGTCATTTCTTTTAGTTTTCGCCAGCCAATTTCTCCACTGAGCTAACATTTCTACCTAAGGACTGTTTACATCTTTGTCTTGTGACCACGTTTTGTGGAGCATGAACAACATCATGCAATCCATTTATCCAGATATTGCCTGAAGTTGGAAAAGCAAGCATGATTGCAGCCCCTCAGTGTCGTTATGAGATAGGTGGCATTTGTGTACAGTATGATTCGGATTTCATATCTATGCTGCTAACAGTTACTACACACCACAGATACTTTAGACTAGTCTGGCCATTGCTCAGTATAGCCATGGTCCTGTTCTGTGCATGTGTTAATCCTGCTTGGTGACATGTCCGCTCTCTCTCTCTCTCTCTCTCTCTCTCTCTCTCTCTCTCTCTCTCTCTCTCTCTCTCTCTCTCTCTCTTCTCTCTCTCTCTCTCTCTCTCTCTCTCTCTCTCTCTCTCTCTCTCTCTCTCTCTCTCGTCCATGTGTTTAGATGAGTGATGTCTCAGCTGGTGGTTGTACCGTCTTCCCGCGCATCCCTGCAAGAGTGGAGCCATCCAAGGTAACATCTGTTCACAGATGATCTTGCATGCAATACCCCTCCCTCTGTATTGGCGTATATTCCCTTGCCACGGATAATGTGTACCAGATGATGTTCTTAAAATTTCATGGCTCGTGGATTCATTATACTGCTGGAAATGGATTTGAGTAAATCAAATCGGAAGTATTGACTGCTGCCCATTGCCGACAACCTTGGTCCTAGAAACGCACTTCAATATTCCTATGCAGCCATGACTGTCGTTGTGCTATCGATGCTGCTCCTGTATAACAGCCTAATGGTGGTGTTGGTTGATGTTGGTATTCTGCACAGGGCGATGCGTCGTTTTGGTACAATCTTCTCCCGTCCGGTGACGGCGACATCATGACTAGACACGCCGGATGTCCTGTTCTCTCAGGATCGAAGTGGGGTGAGTGCAGGGATTTGTTTTTAACGTTCACCGGCTGGGGGTGAGGTGTGTGACTGTGGCCCTCGCAATCCTTGCTTACTAGGGTGTAATGACCAGGCCTAGTATTGTATTTTTGTTTTTTTTGTTTTTTTACATCACAAATCAAACGGACAATCGTGCCCAATGTTATGATGAAGTTGAAGTTTGAAAGGCAGTGGTCTCCTAGTGCTGGTAGATCAGCGATCTGCGTTAGGCATGCAAGTGTTGTGGCTGTGTGACTAGGTGGTACCTATGTATAGCATTGTGGTGTCAGTGTATAGCCTTGTGCACAATTATGGTCTCCTAGATGTGCGCACCAGCCTCTTGACAGGTGTGGTGTGTCTTGGGCTATTCTTGAACATGCCTTGCCAGTTGCCTAAGCTCAGGCCTGGCTGAGCTGGTCTGGTTGATCAGGTCATGGCCAGATCACTTTTTATCCGTTTTGTCTCGTATTGGTATTTACAACTGAGGAAGTCATGTGCCCCCGCCATACCGAACATAATATGAGAGGCTATGGCATGTCTGGAACAATGAAAAACTGCTTCAACTGGTCCTGCCAGTAGCTGCTGTCAAATACGGGCATCCTTGCAGACATGTAGGAGTGTTATTAGAGCCCAGTATTGCATATGTATGGCATGCCCGTAGCGGTGGAGTGAGCCAAGGTGTTGGCCTCAGCTGAGGAAACCAGTGCAGAGAAATCGTATACACTAGTGAACCCATGCATTTCTGACATGGATCTGAGAAATGTGGGGTGGTGTATTTGCACTTGATGTTCAGGCCACCGGCAATGGCTGGCAGTAAGCTAAACCGACCAACCTTGGGGATGCATGCATGCTGTACACGTGTAAGCTGTTGTATGAACACATGCATCCCATGGGTGATGTTCGAATATAAATGGCTTACCAGGGGGTGGCCGGGCCAATCTGTGTTTCTGTTTTTTTTTTTTTGTGCGTGTTGTGTGTGTTGTAATGGATGTTTGTTTCCTTCCTATGGATGTGTGCAGTTTGTAACAAATGGATTCATGAACACGACCAGGAGTTCCGCAAGCCATGCAAGCTAACGAGGGATGCAACTTGGGACGTTCACCTGCCCCCGGACCACTTGTGAGCCGTTCTAATGCCTGCTGTGGAATAAATGGTCATTAGACCCCAGCGATAATCTGCACTTTATGGTGGCATCAAGCAGTCCAGTCGGTACACACGCAGAAACACGCGCACACAAACGCACACACACACACACACACACACAAACACACACCATGCCGGATATGCCCTTCCATGAATAACTTTATTGCTTGAACAGCAAAATGCAATTTCGCCGCTGGCCAGTTTCCATTACGAACTTGATTACCGTTGCTTTTCGCATAACATACAGTCAGTTTGAAAGCTATTATGACTCCTTTCAGATTATGCTCACAGATATACATGCATACATTTCCAAATTATAACACTGATGATTATAAAAAAAAGTTTCATGTGCTTCCAAGCTCTTCATGTGAGACTGCTGGTGTTTGGGAGAGTGGGCGCTGAGGTACTTTCAGAAACATATTGCTTATCAAGTCCGGCCCGCCGGAACCGGTCCAGTTGGTCAGTTTAATACCGGACCAGCTTTGTAGCCACCAACACACGTTTGCTACTAAGAAGGGTATTCCCCCGCCATATTACTTGTATACACAAAGTATGGAAGACTATGGTACGACCAGACCACTTAAAAACTGCTTCCGGCGCGGGTCCTGCAAGTCCTGCAAGTCCTGCAAGTCCTGCAAGTCCTGCAAGTCCTGCAAGTCCTGCAAGTCCTGGCCGTGATACCCCAAGCAGTGGTCATACACATTACACACACTCAAGTCTAGTGCTATTTCCACCCATGTCATCACATGCTGCCAGGGTGCAGTCTGTGGTGTACATTTGAATTATGACGTGAGCCATGCACTGAACTGCATCTAGATCTGTCACAATAATGCAGCATTCGGTAGTCAGTACTAGTAGGGAGGCTGAGCAACGCACATAGTCATGAGCCTAGAATCATCATCGAGTCACTGAACACATCATTTTTACATCAACGGCACCATACCACAAGTGCACTTTCTGGGCGAACTCGACATGTTGCCACGGCTCACCATCAGCAAAGACCCAGTTCTGTTGACGGCAATTGTGGTGTGGTGTCCTGTGTGATACACTGATGGCTGATGTAATAATCTGTACAAGTCCTAATCCTGCTGCTTACCCCGTCTCGAGTCACTGGAAATCCCGAGTCATTGAACCGCTTTTGAATATTGGGCCAGGCCGAAGTGACTCGGAATTCGGTGTGACTGATGAGTTTATCCCGAGTCGCACTCATCACTCGTCGGGCTGCAACGGTTAGGAGTTTGAGCGGGTAACGAGTTTGGGCATTTCTATCCGGGTGGCACGGGTACCCTATCGGGTATTTTTGACTTAGCAGTTAGGAGTAGACTGGTACATGGCATTGCATGAGCGGGATCATCACCATGTGGTCGTACAGTGAGTGTGCACTTGCACCACATAATATACAAGTGTACAGCAAGCATGTAGCTGCACTTCTGACATGAACCGTTGGGAGAACGCACTACTCCAACCACCCTATCGGGTTCTCAGTAGGAAACTGCTACCCGACTATCCGCTCTAATTACAGGTAGCACGGGTACCCTACTACCCAATGACACCCCTACCCGTTTTCAAACATTTTACAAGTAGCACAACCTCTGGACCAGTGACTGCAACCATCAGTGTTTCAAGTTATTATAATAATTATATAATTACTCACGGATTACTCACGGATCTCAGAAAGATACTCCCTGAACGGCTGAAGGGAAAGTCAAGACTATAAAAACTTGTAGAACGAAATTGACCGGAGAACGAAATGTTCGTCTAAAGCAAAAAAAGAAGAAAAGTGAAATCAGCAGTATGTCCTGGATTTATTGACTTGTAGTCAAATTCATTATTACCAACTGAAGTATAATAATATAAAGCGCATCGGAGTAGGAGTAACGAAACACGTAATTCGGAAATGAAGCTGTGAAATTCAAGAAGTTTTTTCAGGTTCATGCGGTCAGCAGTCTTGCATGATTGTCTCAAAACAGAGTCACGGGATATGTTCAATATCCTACATGGTTGTACCTAGTGTGGTTGTACATAGTGTGTGTGTGTGTGTGTGTGTGTGTGTGTGTGTGTGTATGTGTGTGTGTGTATGTGTGTGTGTGTGTGTGTATGTGTGTGTATGTGTGTGTGTGTGTGTGTGTGTTCATCAGCCTTGCAAGCTGTTGAATGGTATCATCGCAGCACAAGTTGCTATGTCTGCTATCATCGCTTCCGCGATGGGCATGTCTGAGTCTGAGGGTGTGTGTGGTACATGGTGTGTGTGTGTGTGTGTGTGTGTGTGTGTGTGTGTGTGTGTGTGTGTGTGTGTGTGTACATACGTGCATTCACGTGCGCACAAGGGGCTATCGTTCAAGCCACCAAAGACTTCGTCTCCAGAACGTCCAGCCTCGCCGTCATCTGCATCAGCTTCAGAACCTTTGCTGGAGGTATGACCATTCCATCACCGGTACATACAAGCCAACCCCGTTGCTCTAGCAACCATTTCTTACGATACAGCTGCCCAGAAAGTACTTGTGGCGGATGGAGAAAGTCCCTGGGCCCGATATCCAGGAAGATTACGCCCACATTGCCGCGGAGGAAGGTTTTGACCGCTCTGGGATTTAGCTCCGATGGGCACGGCAGCTCGGATGGATACGGAACAAGATCACATGTTACGTGATCAAACACGCCGAGCGCCGTCACCAGTCCCTCGTCAGGGAACATTCTGTTGGTAATCATGTGCGGACAGACACAGCCGAGATTGAGGCCGACTTGTAGGCGACTCTCTGCCGCCACGTCTCTAGCGACACGGGTCAATAGGTGCTGGTCCCGTGGCAGGGGAAAAGGCAAAAGAAAGAGAATGTGTGGCAGCTTGTGCACGTCGTTGCCTAGGGTTACCGTGCCGCTCAAGTAGGCATCCACAACCGACTCCAGCAGCTTCAGAAGCCTGGAGGGCGGCTGACAGCCCTGGCACACCAGCGCCCAGCAGAGACAGACCACTTTACATCCGGTACTGGCCGGGTTCATGGACAGGTCCGAGCCCTGTTCAATAAACTTCCCAATGTGCTCGGCCAGCTTTGGTGCGGGCACACACAGATGGCTATATGCATACATGACGTCATGACTCCAGCCAAACCAGTTGATCTTGTCGGCCGGAAACAGCAGCAGGAGGGGCACAAGAGTTTGTGCGACCGCGTCCAGGAAACTAAGCTTCCGCAGGCCCAAAATCCGTAGGCCTGTCAGCATGACGCCCATCTTTGTGCCGGAGGTGATGCGAGGAAGCTGTAACATGTTGTATGACGTCATCATTGGCTCAAGACGAGTCATCACCAGCTCTACGATGTCCCAACCGCGTACGCTCTGATTTTTCTTGTGTGCTTCGGCTACAACGAATATCAACTCCATCAGAGGAGCAATCGCCCATATGTCCGACATATCCACCCGCTCCACAATTTCAAACAGCCTTGGTTTTGCCATGGCGACGGCCTTGGCAACGCCGTCACCCCGATGCAGATCCAGGGCGGTGATCACCTTAAGCACCAGCTTCAAATGCGACACCGTTGCCGTCCCGCCGTCCAGCAAGGTGAATGCGTTCAACGCAAGCGGCTGTAACGTGTCGACGATGTAAGAGATTTCGCCGGCATGCTGGTAGAACAAACTCAGCTCCTTCATTTGCACGTAGAACTCAGGCTTAGGCTTTCCCTCAAGCACGTCTACGCTGGATCGGGCCATCATATGTACTATGTTATCCAGTAAAATCTTTTTTCTCTTCGTTTCCACACCAGGCAGTTCGAATATCAGCGACGTGCAGTGCAGACAATGTTCTAGTCGCGGTGATTTCTCTCTCCTCAGGACTGCGATCACGTCCTCCACATCTCCCAGGTGAACACCAGTAGACGATGTTGCCATCCCTTTTGAAAACACTAATACTGGCTCATTGCACGGCGAGGAGCAAGCCACACGAACTCCACGGGCAGCCTGGACATATTGCCTACTGAAGCGACGTACAACTAAGCAATTTCGTGACAACCACGACATCTCTCACTAGTGTCGTCTGCGCTGGACCAGCATTATGCACACGGCAGCATTCGGAGGCGTGCTGAACTAACTTTGAAGGCGTTCTTTCCCAGACATCTCCAAGATCCACCTCCTTCTCAGGAGATTCTCTTCACTCATACAGCAACATGGAGCAAGGTAAAAAAATCGGTGGCGATCGTCATGACATTTTCATTTTATTTTTGATATTCAAAAACAATAAAAAAAAGAACAGGAAAGTCATTTTCTGGCCCTACGTAGATCTACAATGTACGTAGAGACCAGGGAGTCGTAAAATACCTATTTTACGACTCCCTGGTAGAGACCGCGTCCCGGTGCGCGCATGCATCCATGATATCCGTCAGGCAGGCCATAGCCATACATGGGATACAGTACAGTAGGCATACTACGCCGCATATGCGCTGGTCACTGAGTGAGTGAGTGATAATGATCGTCCTTTTGAACGACACATGCAGAGCGTTACCTGGTTACTGATGTACTGAGCAGAGTGTGAGTGTGACCGTGCACAAGTACTGACGTTAGTACATAATTATACAATACATCATGTATGATGTAATCATGACGATTGTATAATATTTGTTTTGCCTGCCAGATGAGAAGGCATGAATGTACGTCGGTAGTAGTCACTACTTGTACACTGTAAATTGTAACTATACTTGAAAGTCAGGGAATAGCCGCATTGTCCAAGCCTGACCATGATGCCAAGTCACACGTGCGATCCCGAACCTTCGAAAATCACCGTCAGGCGTCAGTCGCTTGTCAGTGCAGTGTCTCTTTTTTACAATGGTTGACTTGTGTCATTCGCACCGGTATTGTGGCGAGGAATACTGAACAGTCCACCTATTAATATACTACATGTACTCCATCATAAAAGTGGTGTAGACTCTCTACAGTCTACACCAGGTACATCACACTACATGTAAGTGTACAGTGCAGTGTATCCCTTCTGCAAAGCATTATGTCCTGCAGTCACCATGGTCACAGCTAGGTGCACCGGTGACGGACCATCTCACTTTCTCAGTACAGTGCGGCGAAACAAATGCTATGTATGCTCGCTGCACAGACAGACACTCATACAGTCCCAGATCTACTGCCTGTACTGTAACTTTAGTGTAAGCTGTAGTCTAGATCTAGACTAAAGGATGCGATGCCTTTTTTCCAACCTACTAATTATTATTATTATTACTTGCATGTGCGCGTTGGAGTCAACCATGCAAGCATGATCCACAACTTCGCTTATGCTGAACATGATAAACAGGACTATGACAGGGGAAAAAATGAGCTAGAACGAGCTAGAACGATGATAATAATAATTATGATAACTTTACAATGTAGTTCATTGGTATTGAAGATATACTACTAAATACTACTAAATACTACTACATGACATTGTATTAAATATCCTGATCGAGGCTACTGGATACTGGATACTGGATAGTACAGAGCTACCAATCTACTCTCAGTCTCTGTACTACATGTACACGCAGCGGGCCTGATTGGAAATTTTTATTTCCATTGCTATCAGGTTCGGCCTCATTTCCTCTGTGCTGCGCTGACGAGTCCACAAAGGACGAAACAGTTCTGTCCGCAGATTGTGTACACGCAGAGTAGATTGATAGCTCTGTAGACTGTACTGGGTAGCTCTGTACTGGGTACTAGCTCTGTATTGTGAACATGAAAGGGTCCTGCCGTGAAGGTTCCGCTACGTTGGCGGTCAAGAAGTGAAACGATCCAGACGATGATGGCTGGCACTGTGGCAGTGACACTGAGTGTGAGTGTGACTCCAGTGTGCCTGCTCTAAGTCTTAGTTGACAGCGATCACGACCACGAGTTTCAGTTTGACCCATCCACCGTAGATCTACTGTGCGCAGTGTGGCGGTATACGATGAGGGTGCTCCACCGTCCACGTAAACCATCACAGAACACTGTTCCAGCCGATGAACAGTACACTAGCAGAGAGAAGTGCATCCCACGATCTTGCTCATGTGAAACAGTGATCCTGGAGCGGAGGACGAAAGACCCTCGTGAGTTAGATACTAGTACTACTAGTGTTCGGGCCAAGCTGAAGACTCGTGAAGAGCCAATACTGGCAATAGGCAATACTATCTGCAGTGTTACCTGAACGAATGGCATTGCTAACAAGTGTCACTGTCTCAGCGTCTGTTGGTCTATGAAGAGATAACGTTTAGAACGTTCAAACAATTGTCGTACCGCTGAACCAGTCACATCTTGTTTACCTGTCGGATACTGCTTAGTCAGTTCATCCCTGAGTTTGGCGGTGGTTGCTGATGGTCAAAGCCACTTCCTGGGAGGGAAAGCACTTCCCCGTTGAGTTACCACAATCGCGATCGGTTCTGTTGTAGCGAGGTGCGCAACAGTACATACAGACTTCTAGTTCACAGAGTTTCTGACAAAACGTAGGTTGTACGCCGCTTGCACCCTTCCAGGCTTGTGTCCGTGGCTGCAATGCAGAGGACGAGTGGTGCGGGCAGTTTTCGAAACGGCTCGGGAACAGGAAGTAGCGGCTTCATGAACACCTTGCGCTCCAATGCTATCAACGCCATCCTGCTGCTGCTAATTGCCTACTACGGCGTTTCTCTGTTACTAGAAATCGGAAAGAGCTCCAAGGCTAAGGGTGGCGCAAGTAGAATATCCACCGGAGAACCTACAGCGAAGGATCTGGACACCAAGGTTGTCACGGCCTCGGATGAGTCCTCAGGCAAGCCGCCAGGATGCAAAAAGAGCGTGTATGACTGGGAGCGGGAAGACTGGAGACATCAGAAGGTGCTGGACGATCGCAAAGCTTACTACCGCGAAGTCAGCATTGGCACGCACAATAAAATGCTGGGCGGCGTTTCGAGCAGCCTGCAGTCGCTGATTCTGCACGGATTTCAGCCGTCTATGTCGTGTGCAGATTTACAACGGTACGGAGGAGTTCAGGACGGTGGTAAAGTGCTGTGCGAGGCTACACGCCTTCTCAACACCAAGGAGGAGTGCATAGTATACTCGTTTGGAGTTGGCTTTGATTGTAAATTCGAAGTGAGTCTGTTAGAGGCATTCCCAGACTGTACAGTACATATGTTTGACCCCAGCGTAAGCATGTCGAAATTTGTCGACTCGCACTGTTCCGTCGGAGGGGCTAACTTTTACCCGTGGGGTGTCAAGGGCGAGAAGCTGCTGCCGTCCGGTGACGTACCCCCGCCCAGCATGCGTCCCACCACGGCGGCGGGATCGGAGCAGCAGTCAGCACCGACCCTGCCGCCGTTGTCTCGCTTCAAATCCGGCTACTACTCCCTGCCGCGCATCATGCAGCATCTGGGGCACACGGGCAGGAAAATACAGATGATCAAGATGGACATAGAAGGCGGCGAGTTTGACTCTCTCATGTACCTCATGGCACCGCAGAACAAGCACATCATGTTCAATACCAACCTCATATCGCTAGAAGTGCACGAAGCACCACCCGGCTACCAGGAGAGGCTGATCAGCGAGCTAGAGGCACGGCACATGCGATTGTACTACGTCGAGCGTAACCCGTACTACCCGTCCGTTCTGGCCGAGGTTGCCATGGTGAATAGCACGGCACTGCGGTTGCTGGACGGCAGCTGAGGTTGCCATAGGGATAATGCGGCACAGTGTTTCCTTGACTGCAGCTAGGAGGACGGTGTGTATTTGCGTGCTGGTACACATTACACTGGCACACAATACACAAATTACAGTTACAATAATTATAATACTGTTTTCACAATTACCGGTCGGTAGGATTAGTGATATTATGTGTTGGCGTGTAGCCCAAACACCGATGAGCAACCATGCGATTGAGAGAGTTGTTGTAAGCATGTAACTATCATCAGTATCTTAGTCTAAGGTGCCCACATTCAGAGCGCCGCGATGTATGCGTGCTTAGAGCGCAGGGCAAATCCAGTTTGTGTCCGCGAATCATTCACGAGGGTTGTACTGATTGCTTGAACTTTGGTTGATAGTGTCTGAGAAATGCACCTTCTATTTTGAAATTGTCTAATGCAATGTCTTCTATACATGTGCTGAAGTACAATACTTTTCATCTGTTCCGACATGGCCAATATTATTTCCTACTTGAAGTATTTATCTATCACTGTGGAGTAATGAGCACATACAGTCAACTTCGCTAATAACGACTGCGGGTATAACGACAATTCGCGAATAAAGACAGAATTTCCACGCCCAGAGCAAAGTCCCATCCCACTGTAATACATATAATGAGACTTCGGGTATAACGACCCTTCGCGAATAAGGACACCTTTTTTGATGCCCCGCCCAGTGTCGTTATAAGGGAGGTAGACTGTATATGGGAATTGCAAAATCCAAACCAATGATGCATGTACAGGCTACTTGCATGTGCTATAATAATATCATTGTGTCAATATCGAAATTAATGTTGAATTGCCACTAGAATGCGAATAGTAAAAATCAGGAATACAAAGGGGCACCGTTTCTGGATGGAGGGATGATTTACAGGAGAAAAAAGACAGTCACGAATGCTTATAAGTCCCAAGTGTTGCCACACTTGCATGTAAATACTCTATTGCAAGGCTTTTGGAAATAGTTTGCATGTAATCAAAAGAAGGGGAGCCACAAAATTGGCTGCACCTGTTTGGAGTTTATGTATCATAACCTGTACGGAATGCGAAATCACTCTCCAAAAAGGAATCCATTTGCATCTGTAGGTACATGTATGGGTGAGGAAGAAAGAATAAGAAATAACCAGGGGAAGAGAGGAGAAAGTTTAGGAGAGAGAAGTAACTTTATTTAGCAAATTTGACATAATTTGTTTCTTTTTCGGAGAGAATTTCTAACAAAACACACTGGTAACAACGCCGTACAGACAGCCTAGATCAGTAAGAATATCTCCACGTTCCAAAGGAGAAAAAGTAGTCTCACTTTTCAAGGTCACAGAAGCAAACTGAGTTTGTCTGTTTGTCGAGCGACATCACAAACATCAGGCATCCTTTTCCGGGCTGGCTACCTCGCCCGAAGACAAGTCTATCAACTCAACCTCCATGCTTTCACGGACTGGCAGCTTATCCAGAGGCTCGGTGCCATCACACTCCGGTTGTTGACTCTCGCAAGCATTTGCATCATCCGAGAGTTTTTCCTCTGTGCCATGCGTATCTGGCGTTTCCAGTTCGCATTCATCCTCAACACTGTCATCACCCATGAGGTCGGGACCATGCCACAGTGGTTTCGTTTTCAGAATGCCACGGATTTCGGGTGACGCAGTTGCCGGTGCTAAAGTTGCCAAGGTAGCAACACTGCTTCCATCGCTCTTGCTAGTTTGATGGTCTGACGAGAGTGCAGGATTGGAAGCTTCCGACTGGACGACTGTGGCAGCAGAGGAACATGCAGCTGCGTTGCCATGGTGTTCAGCATCCACTCCCGTACTCAGAACACCACGATCGGGGTCCTGCATTAGGAAAATCGAGAACAATCAAAAAGCAAACTCAGAGCTAACGTAGCAGTGAAGAAGTCTCTGTGTAGGCTCAATGCCAGGGCACTAACAAGCCAAAAAGTAAAAAAGCCTGAACTACCATGCACTAACATGTAATTAATGATTTTTTTAGGAATGGGTTTGCTGCCACACTGGAGCTCGCGCTATTCCGCCGGCTTGACTTGACACTTGACTGACCCACGACTGTCGTGCGCTCTGGACGGCAGTCGTGAGTTAGTCAAGTGTCAAGTCAATTCGGCGGAATAGAGCGAGCTCCAGTGTGGGAGCACACCCATTCCTAAAAAAATCAGCGTCAAAGTCGCAACCACTATTTCTTAATGATTTTTAGTATAAAAAATCACTGATTTACTTCCTTAACCAGTTTTAGTGTCACACATCTTTAGGCAGCCGCACATCACCGGCATCCACACATCTACAGCAATGCCTTTCCCTGCAGCCCTGCATCCACTGCTGCCCAGCTGAGTCTGCACATCCATGGCCATGCGTCTGCGTTGCAGTCAGGCATCGCAGTTGTACATTTTTATTTCAAGCACACTTTTGCGATTTGAAATAGGAGAATACAACACCAGGGGCGCTGTACGTACCACTTTTTGTCCCAGGTATACCCTGTGAATCAATAAAATACACTGATCTGGGTTCTAAAGTCGCAAAATTGTCGGCTCTGCAACACTCCACACTCTAGTAAATTGTACCTCAGATAGCTGACCGTACCACACTAAAATACCTTCAGATGCCCCCTGAACAAGCAACAAAAGCACTCACCTCAGTGTCCGGCGTCTTTTCAAATGTCAGCACTTCAGGCACCTCACCAAACTTCACACACCGACGCCCGCTGGCTTCAGTCTTCTTCGACGGATCATCCTCATTCTCAGTTTCAACGGATGACGAGCTGGCTAGTCTGCCTGCTTTCGCTCGTTTATCTGATGCTCTCTCCTTCCTGCCCACCTCTTCCTCATTCTTCTGCGCCTCCTCTGACATGCGGCGTACGTTCTCAAGCTGTTGTCGTCGCTGACGATTGCGCCGGTCATAGTGCCGCTGCATCGTGAACACGTTTGACTCACCGCAGAATGACTGCACAGAAACCAACAAACACATGCGTCCACCTGAATCATCATCACTATTATGTAGACTTGAAGCTACCACGGCATCAGGGAGCACATTACCAGTTGAAAGTAATCCCTGGTGGCTATTGTGCATAGCACTTGACAACAATGACCAGGACACGTCGCTCCGCTTGACGTGACAGAGCTGTCTAGAGAAGTAAAGAGTAGCCTAATATCTGCAATAAATAGTAAAACTGCATGTGCTGCCGTGTGCTGCCAAGGAATATATTCTATACCCAATCCTAGTATATCGTGTTCGGCGGAGATAAGAAAGATAAAGCCTGATTACGAATGCAAGATGTGCTGTGATTTACAACAAGAAAATTCAATGTGCACAGTGATCATGCATTGTCTCACATTTTGAAGAATATTCATTATACAGCCCACAAGAGTGGTTTTCATTCGGAGGTAAGTTCTGGTCCAATATCCATTGTCACGTGTACCACCAAGGGTCAGCCAATATCAAACATACCTTTCTCATCTCATCTTCGAGAATCCGTGACACTTCATAGTTGACGTCAGACGATAAGCGTCTCAGCTCGTCGATGGTCTGGTTATATCCTTTGCGTGCCCACTCATCCAAAATAACGTCAATCGGATTGGGAAGTGTTGCCTTCTGTTCAATCTCCAGGCGGTTGAAGCCCAGCTTGTACGCTAGATTGGTCCAAGTGACCACCTGCGGATGACGCGGTGACGGCTGCAGGAGCATTTCGAGCAGTTCCTTGCGCCCTTCAGGTGACATCAGATGGATGTGCATCTCGGGCAGGTGAAGCAGATCAATCACACTGTCAGTGATGCCAAGCTTGGCGGCTGCATCAACGTCAGCAATGATCTGCTGGCCGATGTCCATCAGCTCTTGTACCTTCTTTGGCTTGTAGAAGACACGCGGGAAGTCTGCGCTCTGCTCACTGACCAGACGTTGTAGCTCGTTGGGACTCAGTATCAGCTGGTGGACATTGGAGCCCGGACTGACCCGGTCGATGACCGCAAGGACAATCTTGGTGAGAATCTGGATGAGTGCAAACTGATGACGCTGACTGTTGACCGGACCACGGCAGGCGATGTACACTCCGAGACGACTTGGAGCAACGACAATCGTGCCCTGAACTTCACTGCCGTAGGGCTGCACACGTATGCCATGTCGCCACAGGTAGGACCTCATGCCGTGCTGACTGACAAACTGATTGAAGCAGCGGATCTGAATGAGCGGTGCCACACCGGGTGAGATGGGCACCCCTTCGTCGCACTGGTAGTACACACCAGAGTAGGTGACCAGACGAGCGTCGCGCTTCCACAGGCCGATCTGAGTCTCCTCCTTCAGCTTGCGCTCCGGCAGCTTACTGGGCAGGATGACGCAGTTCTCATCGATGATGCAGATCCCGATGCTCTCCAACATCTGAAGAATCACATCACCATGCCCGCCGCAGGACGAAAGCACCTTCTCCACTTTTTTCTTGTCGGCACGTGCGGAGTCGTGGTCTTCAAAACTGATCAGAACGCGTGGGAAGTTCTTCGGCGAGCACAGATGCCCCACGATGGTGGTTAACAGCCACTCAGCCCTCAGCACCACAACATGTCTGAGATCTTCAGTGGTACTGAAGACGACAACCTGTTAGAAGAACGCAACAGGGAATGCAGAAAGAATTAAGTTAAAAAATCCACCTGAAACACACATACCATGTAGATGGTCTCTCTGTGGCAGCAATGGTCAGGTAACTCGATCGGATTTCATTGAGCAGCATTGTACATGAAGTGGGACTTTGTACTGAAGTTGATATGATGCTCCAGTAGCTAAACACTAACCTAGTGTAGGCTCAAATGCATGCTGAATTATAGTCTGAAAGGTGAGATGGTTGGTGTCTTAAGCCCGGTTTGGAGATATTGCATACGACTACCAGACAGCCTCGTTCTCTAGATCTCTCTCTCTCTCTCTCTCTCTCTCTCTCTCTCTCTCTCTCTTTTGATCTTCCTTTCGTCATTCTTGATTATCACCACTAGTGCTCCTCTCTCGCATTCACCTGACTTTACAGCCTTCTCCTCGTACCTTCTTGTTTTCCCACACTATCTCCTTTCGCCGTACACTGGCTAAGTTGCTGGCGATCTGCCATGGCAACGCTCGTACCTTGATTTGCTGGCCGCATGCTTCATTGCTTTGTTCTTTGAGTTTGCTCCACCGAGATAAGAGAGAAATGTTTTCCTTACAATGATGAATGTTTGAGTCTGATTCTAGAAATTGTAAACCGGTGGGCTCCAGCCACAGGTGATTTGACAGGTGGTCTGTAAAAACATGTTAGGCGTCTAAAATATTTTCCCTAGAAAGACAAGTGGACTCATACCAGAGGTACCGCTGTATTTTCATCCAGCTGTATCGCATACACAGTATGTGTAGGATTGAGCATGCAGCTATATGTACAGCAGAACATCGCTTAGCAAATACCTCTCAACTAAGAACACCTCTGCATTTTAAGGCCACACTTTCTCCGTCCCTTTTTCTCTCCCTTTTGCTCCGTCTCTACTACTGTTGATCAATTTGTATTGCGCTCGGAGTTGTGAGGTTACAGGCCCGTTACTGGAGGCAGTCACCTATCTCTTCTGTCCTTTCTCTAACACAGTAAAAAAAGTGTGTACTGTACCTCGCCACAACAGGACAGGAGCTGCAGCACGGCATCGATCAGCATCTCAACGCCGGTACGAATGTGCAAGCCAGCCTTCTTGTTCTCCAGAACTGTGAGCAGGGTCTCCTTGAACGTTTCACGGTCCGTGAACGGTCGGCCGATCTTCCGGCGCACGTCTGGCAGAACCTTCCTGACGGCGTGAATAAGCCGTGGGGTCTTGTCCGTATGCTGAGAACAGAAAACATTGCCACAGATATAATTATTATGAGAGCTCTCTTAAAGAAGCCTAAACACCTTGCTGACATGAGCAGTGCACTGAGGACCGGGTGTTAGTGAAGGTCCGTTGTTCAAATTTTCATACAAACGTTAACTTAAAGAGACGAGGATACAGAACTTCAACAAACTTGGAGAGGAGTTGGAAATAGATGTAGGTAACTGCACAGATAGAATAGTTTCCAATACCACAGAGAGAAAGAAATTCATAGAATGCAGCATTGGATCAGCTGACCTTGAGAAGATGCAAGGAAAGTCTTTGAATGTGTCCCCTCGCTTCCTTTAGTCCATTCGCTTGTGACTTGCGGGCATCCAGGAAGATGGGTTCAGCTTCGAATGCCAGCCGATGGCGGAACTTGCGAACAATCCTTCCGTAAGCTCTTAGCACTACTTCGGTCTGTTCGTGAATACGTTCAGAGTCGAGGCGACTGACAACCAGGAGGAATGGCATCTTCAAAGGAGCATCGTCCTCTTCCTTCTTCTTCTTCTTAGCTGCTTCAGCCTCTTCCTCCTCGGCTTTCTCCTCTTCAGTTTTCTCCTCTTCTCCGTCCTTGGCATCCTCATCCTCGGTGTTTGTCGTCTCGTCTGCAGTTGCCGCGGGTTTTGGCTCAGGGTCCGAATCGGTGGCTGTCTTATCCTCATCAGGGTCCTCACTCTTCTCCTCATCTTCTGACTCATCGGCCTTCTTTTTCGGCGGTGGGCAGTCCTCGTCGCTGTCATATCTGCAGCCAAGGTAATCAAATTCACCCTCTTCTGCCTCCGGCTCCTCGTTCTCGTCCTTCTCCGGTTTCGATTCTTTCAGGCGATGGCAGCTGATGAACACTCCGCACCACAGCTCCATTTCATCACTCAGTGTTTCAAAGGTCTTCTGCGCGTCCACCAAGCAAACGGCCATTGCCGGCGTTGTGCTTTCGCTGATGAAGAGACTGTGCGACGGAATGTACTCCTGGTGGCCGCCGAAATCCAGGAAGTGATAGACGTTTGGGCTGCCGAGCGGGTCCCTGGTGCGCTCAACACGTATTCCACGCGTACGCGACGACAGCTCGGTGGCTCCCTTGTCCGCTCGGCTCTCATTGGTGAAGATTGACCAGAAGTAGGAGCGTTGGAAAGAGTCGATGAAGGTAGTCTTGCCTGCACCGGGTGCACCACCCACGCCAATGGTGATATCTTCACTGTCGCACACTCCGTATACTGACACAAGCTTGCGGTTGGTGGCTCGCTGTAAAAGCATAACAAGGGTAGACACCAGCCAAAAATCCACATTCAATCCACTAGGCCCACCTGCAGCCAGCTAACCATGAAACCTACATCAATGTCTGCACCATCTAGTATTTTGGGTCGGGGGCACCTTGCCTATTATTGTTTTCTCAGCACCATGGGAAGATTTATCATCAAGAGACAGCATGACCGAACATTAATGTTGCACAATATTAATTTTAATATAGCTATGAATAGGATGAAGGCCGCAGACATCACGCAACTACGTTACTTGTTCGACATGTATTTACTGTGTATTTTATAACAAAAATATTATTGAAAACCCATAATCGATTTTCTTGTTCCTATCACCTGTAGTAGATTATTTGCACAATATTAATGTTCCATTATGCGCAACTGTGTTATTATTATTAATATTATTAGTGTGAGACCTGACCACAAGCAATATAATTATGACAAAAAAAGTAATAATAACCTTTGGGGTCATCCCAAGATATTAACAGTGGTCCCTGAAACAAAATAAATTTGATGTGACTACGTTGTAGGAGGGTGGCTAAAAGCCTGTTCACTTTATCAGGAAGTTGAAAAACAAAATATATTGTGTCGGAAAATATCGCTACACACATATGTCCATAATGGGGAGGAGAGAGCAATGAGGAGACATGGCAAACTTTTGTTCTGAAAAATATTGCTATTTCTGGACACTCCCTTACCGCGATAATGTCAGCACAGGTGTGGTGTTGGCATTGTCTAGCAATAGTAAGGGCTGTGTTGCCTTGCTGGATGTAGATATTATATATATACACACACACACGTGCGCACACACATACATACACACATACATACACACAGACACACAGAGACAGACAGGCACACACACACAGACACACACAACCATGCAAAAACACATACGCACGCACGCACGCGTACGCGCGCGCACACACACACACACAGACACACACACACACACAGATTATCAGTGACAGGAGAATTGTGCACCGAAGAAAATGGAGCCCAATATTGTCAAAGCCTGAAGTGCAAGGAACGCCACAGGCTTTGACAGTGTATAGTGTATAGTCCAATCCAATCGACGGCGTAGGAAGTGCTAAAATACCCCAGGCAAATTGCTGAAAACATAATATTATCGTCCCAAGCTGACCCTTGCCAATGACGTTCTTCAGCATTCAACCCTATTGTACAGTACACGGGACCATGCACAATCCATCTTCAACATACCCTAGTCACCCGCATTTAAGCCCATGCGCTTATAAGCGAGTTTTGCAATATTTGAAATTTTTGAAGGTCGATTGGTCGCACATAAAGGCACATGCGCTTATAGTCGAGTTACCAGTATGGAATTTGGACATGGCACATTGGATCCTGTAAAGATGGCATCATTGTGGCGTCAGCGTGTCGCAGGATTGAGTTCACTTATACGCCCATGGGCTTATGATTATTAAGTAAGGGTGCGCTTATGCCTGGCTATAGGCACATGTGCTTGAATGTGCATCGCTACGGTACCATACTGTGAAATCAGAAATTTTCGGTGGTGTTTTATTTTCTGTAACTTCGGCGCCGAAATTTTTACCGAAAATAAAGCACCGAGTACTAGTACACTTACCTGGAAAGCGGGTTTACCGAAAATTTCCCTCCACCGAACGGCCGATTTTGGAGAATACCGAAAATATTACACCACCGAAAATTTCTGCTTTTAAAGTAGTGGACTCACCTCATTCCTGATCTCAAGATCAACATCAGCCCCGACAAGCACACCAACGATGTCCTCGTGATTGAAGCGTGCAGCCGTGTGCAAAGCAGTGTTCCCATTCTGTAGCAATAGTAGAAGGAATTGACACTCGGTTTTAAGGGTTTTCCTGTTCCTAGTTTTCCATATTTGCGGCCTATTCTCCCACTCTCCTTGAACTCCCTCCATAGCTCTATAACAGTTGTCAGCTGCACAGTTCAGGGCTCAAGGTCAACTAAATATGCAACACTCTAATACATAAACAGGACCTCCTTTGGAAGAAGATTTTGAATGGTCCGGTAGTTTCAATTCCTTTCATACAGTTTGTGTATGATATGGCGGGTACACAGTCTCTTTGTGTATGATATGACGGGTACACAGTCTCTTTGTGTATGATATGACGGGTACACAGTCTCTTTGTGTATGATATGACGGGTACACAGTCTCTTTGTGTATGATATGGCGGGTACACATGCCCTCCATGGTAGTAAACATGTGTTAGTGGCTAAAATGTTGGTCCGGTGATAACCTGACCAACCGGACCAGTTCCAGCAGCCCTGCAGTCAAGGTCCCTGGTTCGAATCTTGGTGATAGTCACTTTTTCCAGACTGTTCAGTGTATCACCGTTTAAAAAACGCAATGAGTGCTGTGCTGGTATCCAAGCTTGAGTGGAGATGCAAGGGCATGGTTGGCGGCCTACAAAGCCTCTCACACAGTCAAAACAGCCATCACAGCAAATGCAGTGCTGGCATTGCCGACATGACCTCCATGCTGTGAACCTCACCGCATCTTTAAAGTTCAGAGGAACCTTGCTCTTGCACAGGAACTTGACCAGCTCCAGGTTGCCATCATACACTGAGAGATGCAGTGATGTGCGGCCCGTCTATGGTGAAATCCGATAGACCAGACAGAAGCAGAGAGGTATATTGAGTACAGGACAAAAATGAAGCCGATGCTCGGGTCTGGACCGCCATTGGTTAGTGTGGAGCAAAACATGTAATCAAGGTGCTACCAGTTGGTTCATTGTTAGTACTTGCTAGTAGGCTCATGCCTGCTTTGATTCCTACTTTAAATACAGTATACATGGCACTGTATATCCAGTATACATGGCACTGTATATACAGTATACATGGCACTGTATATCCAGTATACATGGCACTGTATGTACAGTATACATGGCACTGTATATACAGTATACATGGCACATAATATGTGCTATGTATACTGTATATTATATCTGGGTGAAACACTATCATCTGTATCTAGCTGACGATCAGTTGGACAGAAATTCCAAATACCACCCAGTCAGGAGCATCACCAGATACAGGCAACACCTGGACATCATTGATGAAAGCAGAATCTCCTTAAACAAGCTCTACTGTTCCTCATACAAGATCAGTTCCGAGCATGAAAGCCCTGTGCAACTCACTCTGTCTCTGTCCATAATCTTCTTGACGTGGTTGACCTTGGCGCCATTCTTCCACAAGTACTCCGCTACTTTCAAGCAGCAGTTCTTGAAGGCTTCGTCCAACGGTGTGTATCCAGCCTACGGTACATGAATACATGAAGTGAATGTTACATTATAGGACCTACATGACTGTACACTCGATAGAGTACACTATCATCCGCGTGCGTATGCACATATTGACCCAATCAGGGGTTCAACTAAACAATGGGTGACCGGTCTGTACACAGGCACAATCTGGGCATTGCTCTATCTGGTGCCTGCCTGCATGCCTACCTGTATGTATACACATGTATTTAAGTCACTGTTCTGGATATTGAAATCCATTGGGATGACCTCACTGCATCTAGCGTGTACATGCCCTGTAGTTCACATGCACCAGCAGTGCACGTGTGAGCTCGCGGCTGCAAGGCCAGCGCCCAGTGGCCGCTGAATTCTTTAAAGGATTTCAATGTCCGCGACAGTATGGGTATATGCATTTACAGTGTATACAAATTTGCAGACCAGCTGCTGTTTGATACGGGCCAGGCTTGACAAGACTCGTATGACATCTAGCCTTCAAACTCGAGATAAGTGCAAGTTGACTGATGTTTCGCCTGTACCAGCATCACCACTTCAGTGCTCAACTTGTCACGCAGGACCTTCCGCTCTACTAGCGGCCACAAACACCACGGACAGCATTGCAACTAACGTTACAGGTATGTATGTATCACATGTACTTTGAAGCATGTACGTCTCCTCTTGCCACTTCAACTGTCACTTCAACTACTAAAGTACAGTAAACTTGCCCAGATCCGCACGTCCCTAATCCGGGCACCTTTCTGACCCATAGAGAGCCGCAAACTTGAAAAATTCTACGAAAAAAGGCCCCAAAAAACTATTGATTGGCATAAAAATGTTTAGTTGCATTCAGTAAGTACATGTATGTGTTAAGTTACGCACAATTCCTAGTCAGTATGGACAGTGCTTGGTCTCAACCTGCCTGGGTTAGGGCAGTTTTACGATATTAATCTTACATTATTCTCCACATTCAGCTCTTGTTCCATACATCTGGTGAAGTTCTGGTCAATGAACTTGTAGAGAACTCTTGCTGTGGCACACGTCAATTGCTTGGCTGCGTAGTGGAACGCTGAGTTGCCATGCTGAATTGACCCAAAAAACAATGAAAGGAGGGGGGGGGGAGGAAAGTATTAAAATACTTTGAATGAGTTCATCATCTCATCGTCTTGCCATGTCACAATTCATCGTGTAGCGTCTTCTCGCGGCACTTGACTTGTGTCGGACACATAGCTAGGTGTCCTTGCACAATGGCGCATTGCAGTCTTTCACAGCAGCCAAAGACAACCCAGCTATGCGGCAGGCATAGAGAATGGCATACAAACTTACCCTGTCCCTGGCGTTCCGATCGACACCCTCTTCCAGGCAGAAGCCCACAACCTCGGCATGGTTGTGTGCAGCGGCGCAGTGCAGCGGTGTCATCTTGTCCTGAGCAAAGTGTTCAGAAATACGCAAAGGCTTGCTGAGAAATTTATACTAGCCGCATGCACTAATTTCAATAGTCTTCGGTGTTCAAAGTTTTAGGTAGAGGACAAAGGACTGGGTGAGATGAACAGACAGTGTAGGTGCAGAAGAAGTTCCTAGTTTTTGATGATGTCTACCGAAATACCGAAAGTTAAAGCGAACCAAATATTTGTGAAATTACTGTACTGAATGACCGAGTCGTTGTCATGTGAATGATAGAGCACAGTAGTTGGACAGTTGTAAGCCAGTCATGGAAAACAATGGTGTGTTTGTCGCAGGACCTTGTCATAACCCGCTCCGGGCGCACTGACCTACTGAACACAAGCAGAGCTTCACATGAGCATGTCTGCATGCGTCAGTGCTGCATCTCGCTTACCGAGTTGGGAGTTTCCAGTGAAGCACCAATCCCCATCAGTAGCTTGATGGCTCCAAGCATGCCTTTCTCCGCAGCCACACTGATGGACTGATTCACCTGCATTGCCGACACACACACATACACACACACACACACACACGCACACACACACACCATGACATGAGAATGGTCCAATAACGTGCAGAGAGTGCACCCATTTGCTTCATGGTATGCATAAGAGGCAATGGCTTGCGTAAAAATTCACATTATGCGCCAGCAGCCAGCACACTACATTGTCACTCCTTGAGCATGCGCAATGTAGTACTCATACACCATACCCGCGTGATTAGAGCCCTCTCTTGAATAGTGCCCTCTCTTGAATAGTGCCCCAGTCTATAAGAGCCAGTGAGAAAAATAAAGCCCTCTCTTGAATAGTGCCCCCCCCCACCTTCTTGTAACCAAGCGCATTTGCAAGTAATTGGTCTGGTGTTCTTTTGGTAATGTTCTTGTCCATATCATTGAACTGGTGATCAAAATTCCAGTTCTTGCTGCCCTTTATGTTGAGCCGTGATAGTTTACAGTAAACTTTAGGCTCTGCGTTTCTTTGCTTTTTTTGCTTTTATTGGGGATGGTGTAAATGTGCCAGCATTGAAAAAACAATGCCCTCTCTTGAATAGTGCCCCATCTGTGATGGACATTGAAAAATAGTGCCCCAGAGGAACTAATCCCTCGACTCCAGTAGTGCTGGATGTAGCCACTACTATATGAGTACAAAGTTTTGTTTGGAATTAACTTTAGCTATATTCGTTAGCGGGCATGAAATAACTGAAGTTTGTACCGAACTAAGGTTTCTGAACGTTCGGGGTGACAGACCTTGACCAAAAACGAAATTTAGTACGTAACGAACCTGCTGGTGGAGTGATCTAACGAAAGATTTCGTGAACTGAAATTTGTACTTATACAGAAGAGAATACCCAAAGGGCACGCCGCTGTGAGGATAAGCTCACATCCACAGTGATTGGAGCATCAGCAACATGCCAACATGAACTGTTCAACGCTTTTACCATGATATTCTTCTCCAGGAACTCTTCGATTGTTCCAAAGTCTTTAAGCCGTGTGATGAGCGGCGGAATTAGCTTGTCCCTGCCATAGAATGCTGCGTACCACAGGCCAGTGGAGGTCTCCTCCTGTGTCGTAGAAGTACACACACACACACACAAATATATACACACATAATTAAATTATACACACATGCAAACACATAATATACACACACATGCATGCAGTCATGTACATACATGAATGCATACACAAACATGCACCTCCCTCTCAACACACAAACACACACACACATACACACACACACACACACACACACACACACACACACACACACACCAGTTTGACGCACATCCGATGATCCATATGCACATTATCCGCAGGGAAAATATCCATCGTCATAATCTCTACTCCAGTAGGCAATTGGTTTCATCGATTATTGACCCAATCAGGGTTTCAACTAAACAATGGGTCTCTGTTAGTCACTATAGGCGTCCTCCGAATTCGCATCCAAGCACCTACTTGGTTTTTAGTTCCTTCAATCAATGCTTCCAGCCCCAAATTTATTCCACACGTGGCCTACACGTAGATTTCACGTTGGACCCAACCCTGTACTCCTGCTGTTGGGGAGAACATCTGGTAAGCACAAGGGCAGCGAGACCTTCCGTTCGATATTAATTTTGATATTATCATCATGCGGCGGCTGCTCCAAACAATGGAACACAATCTAACCAACCACCAAACCAACTCAGAATTGACAACATGGTTTGTATCCCTCCGTCTTGAACGAAAGAAAGACATGGTCAGGGTTTCCGCAGGTTGGGGCAGGAACTGACTAGAGGATGAACTACTCAGTACTCAGTACTCTGCCATGTCGTGCGGTCGAAAACACCACCACCACCACTCACCTCATTGAGCACGGTGATAAGATGCAGCGCTCTGTCGATGCGATCCGTGCGAATGCTACTCTCGAAGTCGTAGTAGTTCTGCAGGGCTTTCTCATCGTGAGGAGGCGCGGGCTCCTGGGCTTTCTTTGCGTTCATCTTGAACAGGTTGGAGACAATCTCACCCACCTTCTGCATTTGGTCTAATTGTTGAACTGAGAAATTCTGCACGCGAGTACAAGATTGCAAGGAGGTTAGCGGCACAAACAACAACACAACAACACAACAACGGGTTTTTCAATTATTTTCTCGAACTACTGTGAAAGTGTGAACACCGCTATGCTCATATGGGGCTTTGATTCATGCACAACACACACACACACACATTTCCAGCTATAGCTATAACAACAATTGATTTGATCCTCCGTATCGCTCACCTTGCGCTGAGGAGACAGCGCAAACCACGGCAACCCGCCATTGTCATTTTCAAAAGAGGAATAAGGAAGAAACGCACTCCTACCTGAGTCTGAAAGAAGCGGCGCACCGCAGAAAAAGAAGCAGCGTGTCCGACCCGACACTGCTTCCACGCTCGCCAGCAGACGTGACGAGAGTTCGCACCTCAATGCGGAGCTGACCAGTCGGCTGCAAGCCGGAGCACGCACGGTCTCTGCCACAGATCCACTCGAAGAGCACACAGAAACTTCGGAGAGAGTGCTACAAGTACGACCAACATCTGTCAGAGTGTCACTGTCAGCTGCATGGAGTCAGAACGAGGCTTTTGGCACGATCTGCTGATAATCTTGGTGGTACACACGCACGCATGCACTCTTCTGAATCCGCTTTCCCTGATCAATGCTGACAATAGCTCAGGGCAACACTGAGGTCAGTGAGGATGAAAATGTCATTCACACACTATCGGTTTATGCGACGAAGACTTTTATACTGTCCTAATGGACCATGTTGGACGGGATTGCGGAGTTCTCTACACTACAGGGCTCAGCTGAGTGTTTGTCGGACGAGTGCAAAACACTAACTGAGAAATCCGATCTAGATGGTCCCTTTTTGAAGGTTACAACAAAGCCGAGAGAAGGAGAGAGAAAGAGTTGTTGTGTCCAACCTTGAGCGGCCACTCGTGGTCCTCGAGAATGCTTTTAAAGGGTTAAAAGCCCTGGGCCTGGATGGAGACAGCAAGACTTTCCGTTCCGCTTCGTGCACCCGAGGAGGGAAACCATGTGTGCGATGGATCGGTCCCGCCAGCGGCACGGAGTGACACAGGACGAATCTCTCAGGCGTGGTCGCCATCTGTCCACGCATCCTTGTATTGAACGTTGTAACTCGACCCGAATGCAAAATTTAATAATGTCCCGTGAAGACGATCGAAATGTACAGGCACCATGCAGGTCACGGTGATATCCCAGAACGATCAGTGACACTGGATCGGGTGTACATAAACTCATAATATATGTACAGTACAATCATGTACTTCTCAGGATGGGGGATGGAGGTGCATGGCACATTGTCATTGGCTACTCCGCGACACAGTGTCACATTTCTGTTGCCAGGGGAATGCAGGAATTCCCAAGTTTTTCGTCCCGCCGAAGTGTCATCGGTCCTTGTTGAAAATGGTACTAATACTATTAAATAGCTATGTTCTGCGGACAGGTCTCACAGTGCGTACGCACCACATCTGTTTGTAGCGCACGGTTTTCTGGATATGGAATCCAGGTATGTTCCCGAATGCCCGAAAGATATTGGTAGGTTTAGGAAGCAATCGCAAACAGCAGCTCAGGTCAACGATACCACCTTCACCAGTGTGCGCATGCACCATCCGAGTTCCAATCCATTTTTATGTATTTTTCTAGATACATGTACGTTAAAAAAACCTTTTAGGGCTGCTCTTGGTGGCGACGCTACTTCCTGTGATGCCACCCGAGATGCAAACTATTGTCCGTGCACTTCATTTGAAAGCCCGACGCGTCCTTCATACATGTACATGTACAAAGTAGGTGAAAGAAGCTGTCCTAAGCTGATACCTCGCAGCGAATTCAATTGGCATCACTGCATTTCAAACTGGTATAGTAAACACCATTGCATCTGGCCTCTCTCACCACCTGGTTGCCATCACCTGTTTACTAGAGCTCTGTTCTACTTGTTTCGAAACATTTTAAATATTTCGAAAGTAGAACAGATGTACTCAAATGCATTAGCAATAATTATACATTCACTCCTTCCTATCGCCTTCACTGTTGTCTTATGAGTGGTTGCTTAACCATGAAACTCCGAACAACACAGTAATATTTTAAGACCTAACTTTCCTTTGTGTGCCTCTTGTGCACTGCGCTCGGTTTGGTTTGGTTTTTTATTATTTCAGTTCGTTGCCTCAACAGTACAAAGTACAAAATGTTCAAGAGGGACGAACGAAAAGAGAAAGTAAAACAGAGCAGAAAGGAAGATGCAACTGAAATGAAAGAAAACCGGAGAGAAACTCAGAAGGAATGCGGACTGGCGGATTCACGAACCATTACTAGAGCGGGGCAAGACATGAACAGAAGGGGCAAGTCCGTCGACATTCATGGTTAAAAATTACAGGCAGGAAGCACTCTAGCAAGTTAAAGCCTTCTGCCTATGTAGGAGGAAATACAATCACGTGCCATCATGTATATTGAATAAGGAGGAAATCTTCCTTTTTGCCAGCGGAGAGGGCTCAACACAATACCGTGGAGCACTCAGAAGGGGCAAGTCCGTCGACATTCATGGTTAAAAATTACAGGCAGGAAGCACTCTAGCAGGTTAAAGCGTACTGCCTATGTAGGAGGAAATACAATCACGTGCCATCATGTATATTGAATAAGGAGGAAATCTTCCTTTTTGCCAGCGGAGAGGGCTCAACACAATACCGTGGAGCACTAATACACACAAAGGCACGAAGGAGGTTTACAGCGTTCGTCGCAACTCAGAGTTTCTTGCCCAATGCAATCATCAGCCTGATTCAGGCGACGAATAATTGAATTTGTATAATGATGTTAGGCACAATCTTCATAGTCGAGACAGCTAACGGATGGGACCTTTTAAAAGGTCTCGTCGGCGGAGCTCGCACTCACTGCCTGAGCCGATCGCAATGAAGGCAAATGAACGACAAAGCATGTTTTTGTTTTTCCGGCTCACAGCATCAAATAACCTTAGTTGATTGCTCCAGCGAGGAACACACGCTTCTTGCCGAACCTGACACTTGACTGACCCACGACTGCCATCCGGCAGTCGTGGGTGCCATCCGGAGCACAACGAGGAGCAGGTCGCACCTTCCACTCGGCAAACCTGCGAGCATGTGTTCCTCGTTGGAGCAATCAACGTCATGACTATTACCGCCGAAGTCGCAGCTTCTATTTTACGTTCCCAGCATCAAAGACTCAGAGCTACATAACTGTGATCACCACAGACAGTGAGTGACCTTTGCACATGCACACAAATTCGCAATGCCTGGAAACTGCATGATTGTATGTGTTCCAACTGCACGGAACTACATGTAGATGTTAACTGTGTGGTAGCAATACACTGATCAACAGTTCAGCATCCCAAAGCACACGATATCAGCAGTCTGAATGCGAGGAGTGATGACAATGCATCGCAAAGGTATAGTGAGAATTATCGTTAATCCAGTTGAATTATGATTATTGAATTGGTAGAAATGCCATTGGCCTGTTATAGTAGTTATTCAAGTACAGGGCTGCTGATCGGGTCCTACTCTTCAACTTCACTAATTGGGTATAGGGCTTGAAAGTCCTACGTCACGGGATCACGTGCAACATGAACTGGATCCACTACCCACTCGAGCTCTTGTGACCAGCTTTGAAAATAGTGGAGGACTCTGGAGACATATATTTCTTTCGATTTCGACCAGAAGCCTAGGCTGCTGTCTTCCCCCTGGCCCCCAGTTCTGCGTTTTGTTTGTTTTAGAATGTCTTTAGTACCGTTATCTAGCATCGCCACTTTTTTCAGTGGAGAACCAAGGCTGATCCAGCGTGGAGAAAATGCACACTCTTCGAACCGCGTGGAATCATTTCTGTTTCACCATGAGCTTGGGCACATTACTGCCAAGATCCACGCAAGCATGAAGGACAAGAGATATGATGTGGAGGTGAGCAACCTAGCACTAAGCAACTGTTGTGCCGTTCCTAGCTGCTTACAGTCTCTTCTATCGACCTGGACACCCTCACATCGTCTTTGAATATTTCTACTATTTTTATATTCAAATTTTTGTGTAGATCGAACTTGGTTCTGAAGGTGGCGTTGTACGCGCTTCGTGCACTTGTCCCAAAGGCCAAGGACGGTGCCACCACATGGCTGCAGCCCTTGTCTACGCGAACAAGAATGTGAGCAGCACGGACAGGGAATGTTCTTGGACTGTACGGAAGGGAACTAGTGAAACAAAGTAAGGATTTTTAAGCAAATTATTGTTGATTATTAGTTTTGTGAAAGTAGAAAACTGGTGCCTCCGATGTGACTGCTAGTCGGGGATCCAGGACAAAAAAAAGTGTCTAAATCTGAAAGTGGTCTGCCACTAGAATCCGAGTAAAATCGAACTGTACAGGTGGAGAGAGTACCTGTTGTGGAGTCGAATGGTAGTTGTTGGCCCGTCTAGATCGGGGAAGGAGCTCCGCGAGAGGCAATTTTAGTTCAGCTTCGTCGGTCACTTGAACTGCTCACCTTTCGTCTCGGGCCGATTCTGAGTTGCGTAGAGTACGCACATGACAACCAAATGCACTCAAATTTGAAAACTCAAAGCGAGTGTCTGATCTGGTCGGCGAGCGACTTCACTTTGTTGTTGATCATAATAATAATATTCTTGGTCAAGAAGTTTACTCTCGCTCTTGTAGAAGTAAAGCACAGGGACTTCGTAAGCCTAGCCTAGATATCGTTTGGTCCTTCCACTACCAACTCGCAATGGCAGCCAACAAACTACCCGTCGTGTCGTGTAGTTTGACGCCGCTTCGCGAGTGATCTCAAATGTTTTCTTGATTGGAATTTCGTTGATACGATCGATACGAGGGACACCTTACCTATCATTCTGCAAAGGTAAGCTTGGACCCTTTCCCTGCTTCTCTCTCAGGCACACACACCTTCAATAGCACTCGATTAAATTAGAGTTAGAGAAGACTAGAAATGATATAAACGCATTGTAGTCACTACTCAATCGAAAATGAAATAAATAAATACTACAACTGTAGTAAGGAAGACATGTCCAGTGCTGTGCAATTCATGGACAATATGCCCAGTTTAATATGTAAATTGGAATAAAATGTAGGATGATAGCGTCATCACTTTAGAAGCCAAGCTATGTACAAGCAGTTTATATACAATGTGTGAACAGGTTAGGTGTGTTGACAGCCATAGCCATAATTCACAAACACAATGGGTGGCTTGGACCAGGGGAGGACGGTGCAGTTGCCAGTGTCTACAGCGAGTCGTCAAACTCCTGATCTGGATCCTCATCAGAATCTGAGCTGGAGTCAGACTCTTCAAAGTCGTCAGCACCAGTACTTTCCTCGCTCTCACTGTTTTGGTCGCCTTCACATGCAGTTGTTCCCACATCTGCGGCACCGGAGCTGTCGTTCTGTTCGAGTACGGCCCCAAACGGATTGGCGCATGAGCAGCACGAGCAGATGTCTGTGCAAGCCAAGGACGCCTTCTTGCACGAACAGTGCTGACTTACGCAGTGCCTTGTCTTGCACCCACAGCTCACCAGTTTTAGTATGTCAGCAGGAGCGACGCGCTGCAGCATCCAGGAGATGGAAAGCGTGCCGTCAGTCTCCGACTGCCAGCCATGGCCCACTGGACTCGGTACTTCTGGCATCGCAGTGGTGGCGCTCCGCCAAATGTGGGCCTGGTAGTTAGCCCTGGCCACATGTTGATGGAGAGCGTCGCGTGAGGGCGGTAGTTTGTGCGGAGCACAGGATGTGGCCGCACAGAACTTTTGGTAGCGCAGGCTGTTGATGTCTTGCTGGCCAGGATTGCCATACAAGGCACACGCAAACCACTCACATTCAGAAAGCAGCTGGTCATCCGATGTAGCATTGACACCCAGAGTCGCCAGTGCCTCTGCCAGTCGCGTGCTTGACAGGAGCAGCTTCAGCGGAGCAGTCTTTCCCTTCCCAGAAAAGGAACTGACACTGTCACACCCAGTAAGAGCATGCAGTCCAACAATTGCAGACGAAACCAGGGGGCCCAGCTTCTGTGACAGCTGGGTAAGGTCGATGAACCGCCTCCGTTGCTGCGTGCCAGTCTGGAATATGAGCCGACCGGGAATGCTGCTAGCGGAGCCAATGGCAATCACGGCTACATCCGTGTCTGGCGACCGAATGACAACATCTGGGAATCCTTGCTGCACAGCATCAGCGGCATGAAGGATCAGCCGGGTGTCTGCTTCCTCATGATTGCTGGTCAACCTGTGAACATGATCAAAATTGTAAAAAGAGCAAAATGATTTCCCGGGCATTCAGAGAACGATAACATGGCTCTGCCAGATTATGTGATTTTCATCACTGAATTCAATCCATCAGCAATATCCTACTTGTACTTGTGGGACCAATATGCAGCAAATGTTTTATACCACTTGCTTGACAATAGTCAAAGTCGCAATAAACATGACATTGTACTGTTTGTCTTTTATAATACTAACCTGGACACCTGGTGCCGTGAAAGTGTCGATTTCCCTTCTTCTTCTTGCAACACGTAGCACTGCTGTCCCACGGTTATGAATACACTGCGACTGACACCCAATGTTGCCTTGAGCTCCGGTGTAGAACTCCAATGGTCAGCGAAGAACTGGATTAGGCCGGCCTTATTCGCTCCGCTTGCCATGAACCGCTTCCACTGAGTAGGAATAGCCTGGTCTGGACGTTGTACTGCCACTCGCAGGGGCTCAGTTGAGGCCGTTCGCTTTGAGCGCTCGCACGACTTAATCGACGCAGTGTGGTATTGATCTGCTATGAAGTCAACTCGTGCTGGAGGTGTAGCTGGAAGGTAGGAGACTAGCTGCTTGAAGACTTGTTCGCTGAGCTGTCCGAATGTCGGTGGCGCAGATGTGTAGCTCTGCAGTAATGCCATCGCGTCGACCATAACGGCAGGACCACGCGGAACTGACTCCAGTGGGTCAACTTTCTTCTCAAGAGCAAGCAGCAGCTTACTCTTTGGAGTCTTCACAAGGGATCCGTCTGCGTTGGCCAGGGCCCATGGGACTGGTCCAAGCTCATGCTGGAAGAGTTCCTTCAAGTCGAATGACCTTGATTGAGCCATAACTAGTAGCCGGCCGAATAAGCTCCTATCTGCCACGATCGCTGTTGTCTTGGAAGACTTCTTTGCTGCAGATTTGGTTTCCGAGAACGTCTTCAGGTTCAGCCGTGATATCGGTGTGAAGAAATCAACTGCCTGTAGGAAGAAACAAGTCACGCATGCACACACACACACAAATGGGTTGACAACTTAGAACGTAGTGCATGGATTACGGAGTACAGAACGGAATTATAACATCCCCTACAGCGTCACTTTTGATTTCAATGTGTTTGGTAACAAAGTATGTCACCAAAACATGCATCCTATCATATATCCACACGTCAAGACTTTTAACATGGTGTGCTGCAAAATCATAACCGTCTTACCTGACTCTCCAAGCGGTCTGCCACGAACTTGCTCATTGCACTCTTTCCCTGCGTGTGACTGGATAGGAGATCGGAGGTTGCTTGAGCAGAACAGACTTTCCCACTGGAGAGGCTGATCAAATCTTCGCCAAGGAACGGATGGCTGAACTCTGCCAACCGCTTTTCGAGCTTCCCATAGTCGCTTTGATCCCGTTTCATTCTGCTGTCTGTGTTGTCCTTGTGTGGACGTGCTGTGCCATCATAGTCCTCCGCTTTGACGAGGTCGTTACATGCACTTGCAACAGCTGCTCGCTCGTGAGCTGTGAGCACCCAGCGGTGAACAGTTCCTTTATAGGACAATTATACAGAAAAGGGAAGGAGAAATACATCATCATGTACATGTAATCCACAACTGTTCAGGATCACATTAGAGTCGAATCATTTCCTATTCGTGATGCAGGTGGGCAGCACACTGTGTTTGCATAGTGTACATTGGTTGCTTACTGTTTGATCTTGCATGTGGGATCATCAGGAAGTATCTCCCCATCAGTGTACATGTATGTTCTATTGGATAATTTGAAGTTTGGTCAGTTGTTACGAATTTTTGCCCTTACCTGGGTTGCGGCTGAAGCCAATGAGTCCTCCATGTGACTTGCTTTGCCGGTTGATGGTCTGTTCAATGCACTGATCAACAGCCACCTTCGAGAAGCTGTTCGTAGACCTTGCAACAGAGAAGCAACCTCCTGATAGGGCTTTGTGGGCAGGAGGGTTGGTAGCAGGCAGTTGACGCATTTGTTGCCAATACAGCGACAGGTACCTGTGAAGCACAATGTAATGAGAACTCAATTTAGGAGAACTGAATGATTCGTATTTGAAGCAAAATGTTTTAATTGCGTCGGTCACACAGCTGATAACTTAATGAAGGGCCCAAGCATCTCACCTGGAGTAGTTCTGTCGATCGTATGCAAAGAACCATGGCAACATGTTCTCTATGCATGCCAGATGTAGCGACCAGTTCCCTGTCCGCGTAGCTCGGATGAATTGAAGCAGCAGGCCAACCATGTCGAGGTATGTTAGCCAAAACTGGGCCATGGGTGATGCTGGGCTGGTGCGTTGCAGCTGAACATGCTTTCGGTACCCTTGCTCAAGTTTCTGGTAGCTGGATGAACTGGTTACTGACTCAGCACCATCAAATATACCAGATGTGCGCAATGCTGACAAAGTTCCTTCAAGATCGCTTGACACCGTGTCTCCTCCACCTTCAATACATGAACACACACGCACATGTACATAGGTCAGAAAATTAGAACACAAAGTGCTACATGCAGACCACTGGAGTGAGAACAACAGGCACCATTTCTCAAACTACTTCACTTCGTCTAGTGTGCACAGATGGAATGCAATAAAGAAAGTTTGCAGCACAACTCCTATGTTTCTGTCCCCTCACCTTCAATGCTGTCCTCGTACAGCTTCCAGTTCACTCCCAGCAGACACTCAAAGGCAAGCTTATGGAGGCGAACACCGCGGTTGTAATGCTTGCCGGCCATCACCTGCTTGCACGCATTGCTGCCAACTACGCCTGACTCGACGAGGAGGTCTTCCAAGCCAGCACTGCCAAACCTCTTCCCAAGAACAGCAAGGAAGGCACACGACGTATGGAATGCACCCATGCGGAGGACTACATCCTTCAGCTCAGCATTTTTCCAGCAAACTTCCACAGCTTTGGCATAAACTGCTTGGTCGGCGGTGATGATACAATGTGGCTGATTCAGCTTCTTCGATGTGCGGAGGGACCGGACAACAAGCTCATAAACTGTGCTCATGGCTGTAGGCGATGCTGGGATGATCGGCAGGTAACCGACTGTTGTTGGTGTCCCTGGCGCGGTTGACTGGTTCAGTTCAGCATTGAAGCCGGACCATGCGGGTACCAGTTGTGACTCGTCATCAGGTCTACCAAACTTCGGTGATACCGTCTGGTCTGCGCGCAACAAGAACCAAATCAGGTCAATCGATGCCACAGTGAGAAATGGGTCAATCGAGCCTTGTGCATCAGGAACTGGATGGGCCATTGGAGGAGGTCTTGGTCTCGCACCGCAGTTGTATTCTAGGCTCGGAACTGCAGGTGGGGCAACACTTCGCGGTCGGCGTTGGTTACCTGGCTCGGCACGGCTCGTACTTTCTGGTGGACACGGATCGTCCTGGAAGGGCAGCGAGTGCTGGAGCACAATGCCGTTGGTGCAGTGTGTCGTCCCTTGGCCACTCAGAGTTTCCTCGTTGAGGTCGTTATTGTCCCAGCAGAAATGAACATCACCTCCATGCTGGGAAATGCCACGGGGTACTACAACACTGCTGGCTGCGGAACTTCCTGCTACTTCGAGAGAATACCCGGTTTCTACTTCTCGCAGCTTTGAATACGATATGCCATGGCCGAACTGGTTGAGAAGATCCACCATGTGCTTGCTCCTCGTGTGGTGGTGGACAGTAAGCGCCAAAGCTACGTGCTTTGGTGTCAGAATAGATCCACGAGTTGCAGCATACACAATATCCTCAGCAATTGCCAAAATCTTGCAATGGATGTCGGCAGGGACATGGACACGGGAGTCCGTCAGGTCACCAATGTCACACTTCTCAGGGCCGACAATGGTCATGGCAAGCACATTGTAGAGGATGTCTGGCACTGGCGCATTCTCATTTACGATATCACTGGCATGTGGCATGGTGGGTATTGTGGGCTGCTGATCACGGATGGCGTTGTTCAGAGCCATGGCTGTGTGGAAGGCATGTACCTTGCAGCTGCTATCAATAGCTGGAGGTGCATCTTCATCCGCCATATCATCTCCAGCATATTCGTCGGCGCACTGCTGGGCTGCCTCAGCCTTGGCTACTGCTGCACCAACTATTTGTAGCAGTTGTGATTCTGTCAAGGAGCTGCTTACAACGCTCTCGGGTGACAATGGACCAGGACGGACGAAGTTGATGCGTTTTCCAAAATGCTCCAACAGGCGCTTCTTCAGCAGCCATCGTCGGTATTGACTTGCAGCTCCGAGCTCTGCCAGCTTGGCGCTGTACTTGGACGTCAGGCTGTCCATACGCATCGCTCGTATTTCTGTCTCACTGAAGAGCTCCTTCTCCATGCATACAGCTAGCCACTCAAAGGCTCTATCGTACACATTGTCTTCTGCAACTGCCGTCGTCTTCTTTGCCTCCAGTGCTGCCACCGTGCTAGAATGAGTGTAGTTACGGTAGCAGGAGAAATGGTAGCATATGTCCGATGCTACACAATCGGGACTGCCCTCCTGGAGGGTAAGTAAAATCCGCTGGCCTGCTTCATCTCCACGTGCATTTGCCGCACGGATCAGGCTTTCGCCAGCACGGAATTCTGAACAGAGGGTAAGCGGTTCAGCTTTCCGGTTCTTTTTTTTTGTTTTTTGTTGACATATTATACACAGAGTGATGTCGATGGTTGTCACTTTGCTTCGTGTCATAACACGCTTCTTGGGAGGTTCATCCTCACAGGCATCTGCGTCACCCACCTCCTCTGCGTCAACATTGCTGACAAGGCCACCACTCTCCTCTCCCTCAAAACGACTCAGAGTCTTCTTGTGGGTGTAGGCTGCATAGCAGCGCCTATGGTACCAGCCACGCGGGGTGCTCTCATCCGTGCTACACTGCTCCTGGCAGAGAAAGGCCCATGTGCCGTCCTGGCGAATTTTGGCAGCAGATACCACTCGAGACCAGCTGGTGTTCGTGAAATTTACTTTCTCCTCCTTTTCGCTTCCTTCGATCTTCACACAGTGGCACAAACATGAGCCCCACGAAATTTCCGAAACCTGAGTACTGGCTGAAGCCACTAAATGCCCAACACTACCTGGACTTTGTGCACAGGAGGCACAATTCTCGTCTTCCTCCATGCTTACTCGCGTGGGATTGAAATTGAAAGACCTCGTGCTTCCTCAAATAAGTTCCCCGGCCAGCGCCGTCATTTTCTACGGCGTCGTCATTTCCTAAATTTTTCAAATGTTTGTCGTGGGTGCGCAATGTGTGCATGCTCAAGCCATGCGCGTACGGACGCACGGCGAAAATAAATTTGCGACCTCCTTGAGAATGCTTGAGAAGGCTTGCGAAATCGTCGACGAAAACCCTCTCGCCGCTCGTCTCCTTCCCCGATTCAGAAGGGCCAACAAACAAAATTGACCTTCTATTACCATCACCTATCAGCTCTGAAAGCGGCAAATACTCGGAGTGAAGTGGCAGACCCAATTTTATTTTTGAGCTTCGGATCCTGTACTATGCAACACGTACATGTATTGGTTTCATGAAATTCTTTGCCTCGATGTTTAGCTTACAGGCAATCCAGCATGTGCGACAACCAGTTGGCAGGTGTTACTGTTACTGATGTGGAGGATGCTTATCAATATTAGCAAGAGTAGATAAACAAGAGTGTGCAACTCCAGATCTCTCCTGCACAATCTGCAGATACCGCGGCCCGCGGGCAGAATTTTTTGTTGACGTCACCTTTTTTTACAGAGCATGCGGATTTTGCCGCAGGGCAGTGTAAGAGCAGGTGCTGGGCACCGACCTTGTAATGTAAAGCCTGGCCAAGTGCACGAGGCAAAACTTCCCAAAAGGCTCGCAGCGTGTCCGTCATAGAAAAGATTACGTCAAAAAAAAATTGCGTCGTGGGCCAACCCATCCTCGAGTTGCACACTCTTGTTTATATACTTATTGATATTAGTATATGCACGTCCGCGTTTACGTCAACAGTAAGTCCACGTATTCGCATGTGCCAGAAGACAGGCAGACTCTTGATATTAGCAAGAGTATATAACCCCCAAGAGCGTGCAACTCATGATACCCTTTCTATGGGGTACGCCGACGGCGAAAACTCACGTCACGTGATGCAGTGTCGCAGTTGTATGTTTCCAGCCCGTTTTTAGCGAGCAACGGAGTAATAAAAAGCACTCTGTGTGTGTGTGTGTATGTGTGCACGCATTTTATCTGCTTTGTAGGACTGTGGATGGCATTTTCCCGAAGTCGAAGCCGTTTTGTGCCATTTCACGCCCTGTGGATAATGAGGACAGGGCATGGTTTCACCATCAGCTTGGGACACTTGACAGGTGGAAGGGTTTTCGTTGGCTGCTAGATCCCGAGGTGAAAGAAGCGGACAATTTGCCGACGGAGACGGTTGAAGGTATTACCCTGAGTCAAGGATTCCTGGAAGCAGAACACAAAGTCACCTATGTGTGTACCAGGCTATCCGTATCTGCTGCCCAAATTGTAGCCGTGGAAAAAGCAACACATGGCCAAAACTCGAATGCTACTTGGTCGCTTCTACGCAAGGGCAGAATAACGGCATCCAACTTCGGCCCTGTGCTGAAGACTATCTCATCTGGCCGCCAGCCATCTAAATCTTTATTTACTCGCCTTCTTGGTCAGTATGATTTGTCTGGGCAAAAGGCCATCCAGTGGGGTCTCATGCACGAAAGTACGGCTGTTGCATGCTATGAGGAGTGTGAATATGTGTCTGTGAGATCCAGCGGCTTATGGCTTGCACCATGTGGCCTCATTGGTGGTTCCCCAGATGGCGTAGTTAGCGAAACAAAGCTCATCGAGGTCAAGTGTCCGTACTCGGCAAGATCGACATCTCTTGCAGCTATGGCGAAGGAAAAGACCTTCTTCTTGTCAGTGTCTTCTTCCTCTCCTGCTAACTTTTCCCTTGATTTGTCAACTGAATCTGGATGGAATTATTTCCATCAAATCCAAGGTAACTTATGTCTGACAGGTCGTGAAGTATGCGACCTTGTCGTGTGGACTCCGTTGGAGACGGTGATCATCCCAATTCGGGCTGACCCGACCTGGTCAGGAAATTTGGCTCGGATCGAGGAATTCTACAAAACCTTTTTCTTGCCTGTCTTTCTGGATGGTGGTGTGTAGTCAATCCTAGGATTGCAATGGCCTGTGTAACTCTTCCCTTCTATATCCAGCCATGTCTTTCTTTCCACCAAAACAGCGTACAGTAGAGTACAGTGAGAACATCTGTATGTTTGTTCTAAATTGAAGTTCTGCCACTGTGTGTGTAGGTGTGGCTGGGTGCATGTGTGTGTGTGCGTTTGTGTGTGATGCGTTGTGTATGGGTGTATAATTCTGTATGTGTGGGTGCATGTGCGTGTTCGTTTATGCATGAATATTGTAGGTGCATGATAAACAGCACCCCTCTTGCTTTAGTCACCTGTGCGATGGCTGCAATCATAACTCTACACCTTCCTCTTCCTTCAACACCACCTGAACATTCCACACAATTGCACCTACGAGCTGACAATTATATTATTACCGTAGCTATGCAAAAGACGTTACTTCAGTAACGTCTGATGCTAGCCAAGGTCATCACAGCTTTAACTTTGTGTTTGTTTGTTTGTGCCATCGGCATGCCTCGCGCTATCCCGTACCTGTGCCGTACCGTACCATCAAAGACAGCTGGCCACAATATTCAAATAGGGCTTTCAAATGCAAGATCATAACGTGAAGCAACTTGGAAGAATGAGTATGTATGCGATGTGTATCGGGGGAACGCATGCGATCGCCATAACACATGGCTGAAATGTTTATAGTTTCCAGAACTACATTTCTCGTCACAATCAGTGGGTCAAGATAATTTTGGCAAAACGCACCAAAAGGATAAACTACTGTTTTCGTGCCAATATACAGAGATGGCTATCTTTTATGTGCCCAACAAGCGTGGAAAGAAAATTCGCTGCAACTTTCATGTCAACTGGGAGAATAGCGATTAGGGCACCACGCTCGCCATGGGCATGGCTGTCGAAGACTTGAGCATAACCAGATGGGAAAAATACCAGAAGAATGGTGTAGGGATTTTGAATTAAAGAGGCAGGAAGAACAGATTGGGAAAGAATAGCCTGATCCTTACACTTCTCTAACAACTTTGATAAACCTTCCTCATTTCGTGCACCAAAATCGGAACGAGGTGCCACCCGAAGTGGCTTGCCTGGTATGACATCAAGCGCATCATAAATGGCAAGGAGATTGTTCCCCAACTTGGCATCATCATACAGTCGATTGCCCTCTCTCATGCTGTTTACAAATCTCTTCGTGACTTCGGCAGATGACAATGGCTGTATGGGGTAGGGCACAGTCAGGTACTTCCAGGCCTGTAGACATGCAATGATGGTGCAGGCATTGCTCCATTGCCGCCCATCCATTCGAGACTGGCACATGTCATGTGGCAAATAATGCAATGTATCCAGGGAGACCCGTGAAACTGCGGCTGCAGCAGATGCTGACGGTGCTGCGGCAGATGCTGAGGGTGCTGCTGCTGCGGCTGACGGTGCTGCGGCAGATGCTGAGGGTGCTGCTGCTGCGGCTGACGGTACTGCGGCAGATGCTGCGAGTGCTGCTGCTGCGGCTGATGGTGCTGCAGCAGATGCTGACCGTGCTGCTGCTGCGGCTGACGGTGCTGCTGTTGCACCTGATGCTGACGGTACTGCTGCTGCGGCAGATGCTGACGGTGCTGCTGCTGTGGCTAACGGGTCTGCAGCTGACAGGACTGCGAATAACTGATTCACCATGTCGGGTGTGATGGCTGATGCTGACGGTGCTGCTGCTGCGGCAGATGCTGACGGTACTGTGGCTGACGGTGCTGCGGCTGATGCTGACTGTACTGTGGCTGATGCTGACTGTACTTTGGCTGACGGTGCTGGTGCTGCGGCTAACGGGTCTGCAGCTGACAGGACTGCGAATAACTGATTCACCATGTCGGGTGTGATGGGCAGTTTCTGTGATGGCGTAGCAGCAGGGGTTTGCAGTGGTGTGAGAGTAGAGATATCGGTGTGCTCAGAAGTTTCTGATGCAGGATCAGCGCTGAGGTCACCAGCTTCAATCTCCTTCAGGAGAGGATTACAAAGATTAGTTAGCATTGCACAGACTTGGAAGATTTCGCTGGAGAAAGAACGGTATTGGTAGGGTATGTAGTCGAGAATGGTGAAGATCTTTATGCGTTGTATGGCTCGCTCCACATGGATCCGAGCTCTTGCGATGCGGGCAGTTACATTTGCTTGAGCAGCGGTAAACTGAGGAGTAGTGAGAAAAGGAGGAAGATTTAGAGAAACACCAGCCGGCATCAAGTCATGGATCAGGAATCCTTTATCGGCGAGTACCATGTCACCGGCTGTCAACTTTGACAGCACTCCACAGTGGCGAACGACTTCTTTGTCGCTGGTTGAACCTGGGTACAGAGGACTGACATAATTGACAACACCGTTCGGTGCGACACCCACAAGACCTTTGAATGTATTTTTATGTTTGTAGTGGGAATAGGTCCACGTCTGAGTGTCCATACGGCTTGGAATTGCAATTTCGACTTCAGTACAATCAAGTATTAAACGACAACTGGAGAACGTAGAGAAGCAGACGGGTAGAGAAGTCTTGTTTTTCGTGACGGACGGAAGTTGCGACGGGAGCATGCCTTGATAGAGTACAGTATGAAGGACAGAAAGCCATGTATGGAAGATATTAGATATAGTGGTGTGCGAAGTGCCGAAACGTAAGCCGAGGTCAGTCAGACTGAAGTTGCACCGCAACTTCATGAGGGTGATGAGGAGCTGGTCCTCCATTGGTACCAGCTCCACTCGCCAGCCCTGGTGATACTCTATCGGGAACCTCGTGCAAAGACGAAACAGGATACGAAAGTCGTCAGCAGACGGCAGGCCGGTGTAGTGCCGGACAAGTTCAGCTTTCCGGGAAATAAATTCGAAACAGAACTGGATTTCCACCTTCGCTTTTCGCTTTTCTAAGGCACTAACTTCAGCCTTCAGCTTATCATACTTCACTTCGAGAATTGACGTGTCGATGCGTTGGAAAAGTTCAAGCAGGCGTTGCATAGTAGTAGCTTCACGTTCAGCAGCTTCGCGTTCAGCAGCTTCACGTTCAGCTTCAAATGGGTCAGCTTCAGTTGGTTCGCTACCATCCTTGTCCGTATCATCAACAGCTAATGCCTTTACAGTCCGTTTCCTGCACAAAATAATGGAGAGACAGTGAGAAACAAAACAAAAATGAAAGATTGCCCGTCGATGGTTCACAGTGTTATGAAATACTGATCTGGTCCTCTACTAGAATTCACATAGCACACTTCATTTAGGGGGATGGCAAAACAAATTTAGAAATCGCTTCAGGAGAACATCAAGTTCAATATACAAATCTCTTACATTGACCTAGACTACATACCTTCTATGCATTGGTTCAGGGTCCTGAAAACCGAACGCCTTATCCTTATTTCGTGGAAATATAGTGGGGTCCTTCTTTTTATCTCCGTCTTTGAAATGACAGCTACATAGTCGAGAACTGGCATCTGGCTCCTTGTCTTGTCGCCTGCAAAGTACAGAGCAAACAATATCCAGGAGAGTTTAGCTAGCTGCTCAATAACTTGAAACAATAGTAAATAGTCACAATAGATTGCATCATAAAAAGCCACCTACATGATTGTATAAGGATTTGCACAGTCTTGCTCATGTACTCATTTGGTTTAGCTTAGCCTAGACGGCTATCATTGATTAAAAACAAAATCGTTCTGCCAAAAATATAAGTTAGCACGGCAGGGCATGATTTATCCCATATCGCATGGCAGTTTGCGACGCAGATGCGCCTACTTCGCATGGCAGTTTGCGACGCAGATACGCCTACTTGCGACTCAAGGTCAGGGTTGTGTAACGAAAATGTGCGATGCATGCCATGCATTGCGGTCGAAAGGTCGTGTGAAGTGTGTACCTGTACCCCACATGTTCTGAGCACTCGGTACGGTACTGACTCTGACAGTAGCACAAATACGTAGTCGACTGCACAGATTGTGGAGTCCACAGACTACATGTTACCAAGAGTACATAACCCCAGGGTTATGTACTCTTGATGTTACCAAGAGTATATAACCCCCCAAGAGTAAATCATGCCCTGCAGGATATGAAAGAGAAAAATCTGAGGAAGAATTTATCACGCCGTAGATATTTACGCACATCCGTCACCAACCAAATGTTTGAAGACTTTTGGGACCAACTATATGTAGGCTTCCCTGCAACTATGGGAAAATAAAAAATAATTGAAAAAATTACTTCCACTCGATCGAACAAAATACAAACTGTGAAAAAGCGTTACGCCATCCATCCGCCAGCAAAGCAAAACGCATTAGCAGACTTGGTAAGCATTTACTCATAGCGTGAATAGCACATCACGATAAAACTATCCAGGTACTGTACAGGCTGCCTACATATCCTTACCGACACATCTTCCTCCATATCTCTCTGCGCTCTGGATCCCTCGCCGGGAATCGGAAGAAGCTGCACTTGCGATCCTCTGTCCTGTGGTTGCATTCTGCTGCAAAACACTGCACCATGGTCATACGAAGCCGCCCTGCCGGGTCAAGAGTATACTAGGTATCGAAAATTGCTCCCACAGTTCTTCAAGTGGCCTCTTCTCAAAATGTCGCTTCTTTCTGCTTCGAAAAGTATGGGAAACAGCATCAAATCAGCTTGACGCGAGTGGATCCAAAAAGCGAAGTGGATCCAGTTTTGTTGCCAAGCGACGATTGACGTCATCACTTTCAAGCCCTATTGTGTATTGTAAAACTCTGACACCGGATGTGTAAATTACTATGTACAGGCATTTGGGACAATCAGTGGAGATATGCCATAGAAAGATCCTCAGTTCAACGTTTGCCTTATTTAAACTGATATATTTATATGTACACTTGGGCATTAGTACTGGGTGTCCGTCTTTGTACATGCATGTGTGTTCAAGATCGATAAGACAGTCGATACAGTACGCGCACAATAATGAAGCTTCGGTCCTCAAAGGCAGATCTGCAGGAATATAATAGATCTCAACCTAACCGGCTAGTTCCGTGCCTGGTGTGCCATTCTCCTCTAAGGGGAGGATAACCAGGGTGCCTAGCTAAAGTTGCAGTTAGAGGGACAAAAATAAACAGAAGAATGATCCCAGTGGTGAGGAACACCAACTTAATCTTCATCAAATACCATCCAAAATAGATATTGGGTTTATAGCATCAACTGTTCTCGGATTACGCGAAAGGATATTGCTTCGTCAGAGACTTGAGCCATCTGAGAATTCTAGTTGAAGAGTAGATAGAAGCATCCCGTGCTATGCCCGTCTGGACTGGGTAAGTGAGACGAGAGCCTCTTGCGAATCCCGCCACCAGGTAGGTCGTGTTGAGAATGTGCATGTCCGGACAGGGACCGCACACTGTTTCGTCCTGATCGGTGAGAACGATCAGCTCTCGCCCGATCTTGAGACGGCGGGGCGTGTGGCCAGGCCGTTTGTAGAGCACCGATGTGATTCTCAGCTGCAGTGAGTGCTTATTATCCTTGACAATCATACCGAGATACCGGGCATGGACGACTGCAGAGCCACAAACCAAGATACACGCACGGGACAAACAGGGAGTTAGAATTCTTTTCATCAAAATAATGTTTTAACCCTTTCTGTCCGTACATACAAGCATCGATCCAATGGGATCGATGGGGTAGGCATTTTGAAATTATCGTAACTTGCTCCAATCTAGGTCTTTTGGAGAGATCGAAATATGTAGGTCGAAGAGAAAAGTCTCAGCTGTCGCCTCGAACAATTCCCGAAGCGATACGAAGAGCGGTTGCTGAGTTATCGCACTCGTAATTCTGGTCCCGGGAAATGTGCGTTCAGAGCGCGACGCGCATGTCGACGGCTGGGATTTTCCCTGTTTACGTCACCTGTTGGCAAGGCTACACCAATTCAAATTCAAAAGTAGGTTCCCGGGAGTCTCTACGAAATTATTTGAGCTCGATACGAGCAACAGGGGTGACATGGTGGATTGAGATCGATCTCGAGCTTGAGCTCAGCGCTTTTGCGCGTTCCCTGGCTTGCAGCGCTGGACCAGTGCATCCTGTGGCGCCGAGTGTGGGCTCATTGCGTTCGTCTCGTCAAGACCTTTTCAGGATGCCCAAGATCGTGGAAATCGTCAAATTCAAACCAAAGTTACGTCTAATTTTAGTTTCAGATTTTGTGGTTGCGTGGGCTTGTATACATTTTAATCGGACAGTAAAACTGCAAATGCATACATGTCCATACGCCGAAATGATATTTGTCCGCAGACATGTGCACGTTTGCTGCCTACTCAGACTTCCATGCGTCACCTGAATGGTCTTCAAGAAAATTCAAATACATATGCTCCTTACTGGGGAGTTTAAAACAGACTGAGATGTACACTCTAGTCTTTCCTGGGCAGTGGAGACGTCCTGTATTGAGATAGGGCAAGCGTGGAAATGCTATTCCGATAGGCAGTAAGATGAAAATAGACTGTCTCTTGACCTGTTATTCTACTGAAGTTGCCATATTGGTCAAGTCCCACTGAAGATGTGATAGTTCACAAGTCGCCTGATGATTGTATTGTGCAAGACACTCGGAGGTGCGACCAACTCTCTAAACTTCCTTTGCCTGTCCCCGGGGAAAATTGCGATTCCGCGGCCGCGTTTTTTTCCGCGATTTTCCCGCGTTTTTTGAACTTTTTTGTTGCACTACACGTACATGTACACACAGTAGGGACCTTTCGCATTTGCTACGAAACGAATGCGAAACGAAAGTTTGATTCGGCTCGTAATCGTTTCGTTGAAAACAGATTTCAGGTTTCGCAAGTCGTCATGCAAATGTGCATGGCAACTACGAATACGGCCGCGGGCGACGGTAGTTTGGCGTACGGGTTTTTACACGCACACGTGCATGGATCATGGAATCAAGGGAAAAGTGTGTACCTTACAAAACATGTGTACCTATCCAAATAAATGTGTACCTGACGGATTCGGAGCGTGCCGCGAATGAAGAGGCTTCCATTCGTGAAAACGAGTTCTCCGCAGGTACTCTGACGAATCCTCGAACCCAGGTGACGAATCAGCATTCGTTTCGTATCCGTACCCGGGGTGCGAAGGGTCCCTAGTGCACGGTTCGGTCAGCAACGTCTCATCGTGGCGGCTTTTTACTCAAATATGACGAGTGATTACACCAGAGACTTGTGCGTGATTGATTTCACTACATACTCACTGAAAATTGCCGCATTCACCGCATATTTACTGCATATTTACCGCATATTTACCGCAAATTCACCGCAAATTATGCCATATTATGCCGCGTTTTTCCCCGCGTTTTTTGCAATTTTTTTCCGCAATTTTCCCCGGGGACAGCTTTGCCTTTTGCATGTGACAGTCATGTGACAGTCATGTGACAGTGCTCAACGGCATTGTGCTTAAGACCTCTCCGCTGGCTAAAAGAAAGATTCTTCCTTGTAAGTTGTACAAGATGTAAGGATACGGGAAAAACGCTTACCCCAGTCATAGCGATATGCCTTGAAGGTCTTCCTCTTCACCTCTCTCGACTCGCACGTACGTGCCTCGCATGGCAAATCTGTGCAGAGAATGAGTCACACAATGATGTACACTATAAGCCCAGCAGATTGTTTAACTGGCAGAAACACGATGATCCTTTATAGTGCTGAGAAGAAAGACACACTTCAGGATCCTGAACAGCATCTCGTAAGTTTTCACTAGTATATTTTCAAGCCTTCAAGTCAGTTGAAATACATGTAAAATTAATGCGAGAGCGAACGAGCTAGTTTTAAAAGAGCTATCTATTGGAACCCTTGTATCATATCTCTGTAAAGTGACACACCTCTTGGGATGACTGTTACTTACGGGTGTTGTTACCGCTTTGTTCCTGATCACTGTCGTCATTGTTGATCCGTGGTGGTTGCTCCACACAAGCTACCAGCTCTTCGCTTTGCGGCTCTACGAAGCTTGGCTCGCTCTGAAGTCTCTCGCACTGCAGAGTCCACGGCCAGTCGAAACCATAGCGACGCATGACTGGCGTGCACTGCTGACGCACGCTCTCGCACAGACCACGGCATGGCGTTACCAGGGCGACATGAGCAATGACGCCTCCGGTAGCGGCAGCCTGGGCGGACAGGGAGGCGCCGCCGGTATCCTGGCAACTTGGCAGGTGAAATGTGCAGAGCAGGAACAGCAGATTCTGGGAGCAGTTGCTAGCAATGAGCTCCCTGTAGCCGACGAGTTGTGCGTACGCCTCGACTTGGTTTTGATGATTGAGAAGATTCGGCATTCGTGTCATGGTGTAGTTGAATCTGCCGCACATCGATACCGACTTGGATGACATTGGCACACACTTGGTGGGGCGATCTAGGGCCAGGTATGACGTTGCCAGAAGGTTAGTTGGTCTGTGTTCCACACCGCTCAGAGCAGTGTCGTAGCCGTCCGGGGGTATTCCCTCGACATTGCCATGCTGAGCCTGTGCGCCCAGTGCAGAGTCCAGTGTCTGGTCAGGATCGACGTCATGCTCTCGGACAGGGCGGATATGCACAGGCGCCTCGCGATAATCGATTGTGGGGATAGCGGCCAGCTGCAGAACGTCCTCCGACGCTGTTTCCGTGGGCGCAGCTTGAGAACATACAAAACTGGCTATGACATACGCCAAGGACATGATAGCACGTATCCGCTGCATGGTACCGAGATTCACAGTGGTCTGCACAGGGTAAAACAAATAAGGAACAACCTATTTTAAACTCATTGCCACAGAGTATTAACATTAGGATGTATTCAACTCTTGCTTGGTCTCTAATGTACCAGACAAGGTCATACACAAATAGTTCTCCTACCAAAACAATCAACACATTCTTTGGGGAGTACTATGTAACTATCGTCACAGCTCTGTATGTTGCCATCACCGAATAACTATCAGTCTCGGTGTGATTGTACTCAACTTACTTCAAAACAAAGAAAAGAGAAAAGTAGTAGTACCTTGAAGATGGATCAACACTGCCTTATTTCCTTCTTGAAATAGAGAACATATACATCTAGACCTGCTTCCTCCTTTCTTACCTTTTATCGCCTTTGAAGATCTTCGTTCTCGCACAGTCACCTCAAGCTGCCGGAGAAGTATTTCAAGGTGTCTTCTCTCTCGGGTGCCGCTTGTCTTCTGTGGAAATGCGAAGTGTGTCAGGTGTGTTTTATCCTGATCGTCGGCTGCAGAAGGTGTCCCGTTTTCTGAAATGCCCTCAGTCAATCGAACGACAGCCCGTGAGAGCAACCCGTGTCACGCCACTTCGCGATTGCTCAAAGAGTGCACTAGAATGTATTAAGTGGACTCAAACTATACTCGTAACACGCCAATTGTACCTGTCCGCAGTGCTTGAAATACCCAAGTAATGATTTGTGCTGATTAGAACTTGCCCTAGTCTTTCTTTCTCAACTGTACCGCCGCCACAAGACACCACGGCCCTTTTATACGAGCTTGACATGCTTTGAAAGAATGTCTTTGTCTCCGCCTTACAGGCACACCGATCATGCCGATGGAAGGATAGCCACAGCAAGCAGCTAGTAACCTGGCAAATTGGCTCAGTGAACGACCTTATACACGGACTCTCGTCACTGAATTAACCCTTTTTCACACGTTTCGCCACGAGAAAGCGTGCTGACAAGTTTCCTATCCGGTTCGTGTTGCAAACTCCCGCGACAATGCCTGCTTACTGTGACGCGGGGGAAGTGGCTTGTTCGTTTAACATGGCCGCCAAACTACACGAATTGCGGTGTCGCAGACTTGGAACATTAGCAGCCCTTCGAGCCAAATGCGAACCTTGGAAAAGAGATTGTTTTAAGACACTGGATGTGATATCGCCCGAGTCGTCGCGCGCTCAAGTTAAAGACCCCGCATGCACCTCTGGCCATGAAACTGTCCATACTCTGACGCAAGCCTTATTGGCTCATCGCAATATGCCAAGGAGCCGGAAGGAAGCATTTGCTGTTGCCGCCTGTGCCACTGTTATCTTTTGTACCGAGTATATGATCCAACGAAAGAACTCTCATCAAACACCAACACACTAAAAGGTAGCCTCGTTGGCAGTGCAAAGTACGATCCACGACAAGTAGCAACATTTTCTCTGAAAGTAGCACAATGGACAGCCCTAAACAGCACTTAGCTTGTCGTCTAACGCCACTTGGTGGCATTATCCAACGCCAGAAATACT